AGCACTAGATGTACCACGTTGGTATCTGAAAATCAATTGAACAGCTTTCCAATGCTCTTTGCCAGGATTAGCCATGTATCTACTGACAACACTTAATGCATGTGATAAGTCAGGACGAGAACATACCATGGCATACATAATTGAACCAACTGCACTTGAATAATGAACTCTAGACATGTACTCAATATCACAATCTGACTGTGGACATAAATCTGAAGATAATCTGAAATGTGCAGCTAAAGGAGTACTCACTGGTTTTGCATCATGCATATTGAAACGACAAAGAACTTTTTCAATATAACTTTTCTGACCTAGGATATAACTTGCGTCAGAATGTCTTTCTCTAGTAATTTCCATACCGAGAATTTTCTTCACTGCACCCAAATCCTTCATCTCAAATTCACTACTCAATTGTGCCTTCAACTTTGCTATCTCTGATTTGTCTTTTGCAGCAATCAACATATCATCGACATAAAGAAGCAAATATATAGCTGAACCATCAGCAACTTTGACATAAACACAGCTATCATAATTAGATCTTCTAAACTTCTGAGAAAGCATGAAAGAGTCAAATCTTTTATACCACTGTCTAGATGACTGCTTCAACCCATAAAGAGATTTCTTCAACCTACAGACTAGGTTCTCCTTTCCAGGAACAACAAAACCTTCAGATTGCTCCATATAAATGTCCTCTTCTAACTCCCCATGTAAAAATGCAGTCTTAACATCCATTTGCTCTAGTTCATAATCATGCATTGCAACAATACTGAGTAAAGTGCGAATTGAACTATGCTTCACAACCGGGGAAAAGACATCATTAAAATCAATACCTGGAATCTGGCTATAACCTTTAGCAACTAACCTTGCTTTGTACATTGCCTCATCACTTGGAGATATACCTTTCTTTCTTTTGAAGATCCATTTGCAACGGATAGGTTTCTTCTCCTTTGGCAACTTCACCAATTCCCAAGTATGATTCTTTTCAAGTGACTCCATCTCATCATGCATAGCAGTTATCCATCTATTGCAATCATCAGAAACAATAGCCTCAGAATATGTAGAAGGTTCTGCATTACCTTCAATGTCTTCTGCCACACTCAAAGCATAAGCAACTATGTTCGCTTCTTCAATATATCTTTGAGGAGGTTTAGTATTTCTTTTGGGCTTATCTTTTGCAATAAAACGTTTTGGAGACTGCTGAACAGTAGAAGAATCTGAATCTTCAATAACAGGTACATCTTGGTTAATAGCAACATTTTCTTTTTCTGGTGCATGCCCTGAACTGATCAAGTGCTCCACTTGCACACTTGCTTTCTCCTGACTCTCAACAGGAACATTAGTAGAAGGTTTGTCATGTAACATAACTGATTCATGGAAGACAACATTTCTACTAATCACAACCTTTTTGGTTTTAGGACACCATAACTTATAGCCTTTCATACCAGACGGATAACCAAGAAAAATGCACTTAATAGCTCTAGGCTCCAATTTACCATTATCAACATGAGCATAAGCAGTACAACCAAATACTCTTAAGTCTGAATAATTTACTGGGGAATCAGACCATACCTCAATTGGAGTCTTCTTATCAATGGCATAACTGGGTGATCGATTGATAAGATAACAAGCAGTGGATACGGTTTCCACCCAAAACTGTTTAGGCAAACCTGCATTAGACAACATACAACGGGCCTTTGATATAATTGTCCTGTTCATACGCTCTGCTTCGCCGTTTTGTTGAGGTGTGTGAGGAACGGTGTAGTGACGCACAATGCCTTCAGACTTGCAATATGATTTAAATATCTTAGAACAGAACTCCATCCCATTGTCAGTACGAAGGATTTTCACCTTCCTTTCAGTTTGTTTTTCGACCATAGTTTTCCACTATTTAAACACATCAAAAGCTTGATATTTGTGCTTCAAGAAATAAGGCCAAACTTTTCGCGAATAATCATCAACGATAGTCATCATGTAACGAGCACCTTCAAAAGATGTCTTACGAGCAGGCCCCCATAAATCAGAATGCACATAATCAAGAATACCTTCAGTAGTATGTGTAGATGTGTTGAACTTCACCCTCTTATGCTTGCCAAAGATGCAATGCTCACAAAATTTGAGCTTCCCGATGCTTTGTCCATCTAACAATCCTCGCTTACTCAATTCTGCCAAACCAATTTCACTCATATGCCCAAGACGCATATGCCAAAGATTAGTAGCATCGGAATTAGATAATAAATCAGAAACTGCTGCAACATTACCTAATATATTTGTACCTCGCAGATGCTACAGGTTGGCAGATTTAATATCAGCTTTCATCACAACAAGAAAGCCTTTAGTTACCTTCAAAATTCCGTCTCCACAGGAATATCTGTACCCTTTGCAATCAAGAGTACATAAAGAGATGAGACTTCTCTTCAAATTTGGAATATGCCGCACATCTGACAATGTTCTGATACAGCCATCAAACATCTTGATCTGAACTGTTCCAATACCTGCAACCTCGCACGGTGTATCATCACCCATCAAAACAGTACCACCTTGAACAGCTTCATAGGTGGCAAATCAATCCCTATTCGGGCACATGTGATAGGTGCATGCAGCTTCTTTCTTACCTTTTGGTATATACTTTCCGGTTCTCTTGTTTTTGTCCTGTAGCTTCCAACATTCAGAGATATCATGTCCATCTCTCTTGCAGTATTTGCATGACTTATACCTGCATCTGGACTTTGATCTCCCATGGTAGCTACTTAAGCTTTTATCTCTTGATTGGTTCTTTGTGTTCTTCTCCTGTTGCCTGCCCCGAACAACCAAGCCTTCTGCTTGTGAATTTGAACCTTCAGAGGGTACCATCTTCTTCATCTTTTCTTTGGCATGTGAAGCATCATAAACTTCTTTCAAAGTTAGAGTATCACGGCTATAAAGAATAGTATCCCTGAAGTTTGCATATGAGCTAGGCAATGAACACAATAGAATAAGGCCTAAATTCTCTTCATCATACTTTACCTCCATAGACTCAAGGTCAGCAACAATTTCCTTGAAAGCGAAGAGATGGTCCATTACAGACCCATCATCTTGCAACTTATGCAAAAATAACTTTTGCTTCAGGTGCATCTTACTGGTCAGATCCTTAGTCATGCATATCTGTTCCAGCTTCAACCACAGCCCTGCGGCTGTCTCCTCCTTAAGCACCTCCTGCAAAATATTGTTAGATAGATGAACATGAATATATGACATAGCCTTACAATCCCTTTTCTTCTCATCTTTGGACCAATCCTGTGTCCTCTTGTCAAATCCAGAAAGCGCATCATCGAGGTCTTGTTGTGCAAGAACGGCTCGCATCTTCACTTGCCAAAGTGAGAATCTTGTGTCTCGGTCTAGGAGCGGTAGATCATACTTCAAACTCGCCATGGGAATTAATCCTCGATGGCTTCTGGCTTCTGCCCTACTTTTCCTCGGTGAATGTGCACTGCAGATGGAAGGGTTTTCTCTCTGCTTGCTTTTCCTCTCCTGACGCGTGCGCTGCTGCTGCTCTGATTCTTGCACGGCAGGAAGGACGACGTCTACTCGGAGTTGACGGCGACTCCGCTTTGGATTGGATTTCGCCAAACAGAATTTCGACAGAACGACGAACACGACGACGCGTGTTGCCGATTAGATCGATTTCTTCTATCGGGAAAAATCGCCGGTGGCCGGGACTGCAGTAGATCGATCTCCAATGCTCTGATACCACTTGTTATGAAAATAGATGAACAACAGAGAAATAAATTTTTTACGTGGAAAACCCTTGCGGGAAAAAACCACGGGCGCCGACCGGCAATGATCACTATAGAGGAGTTGATTACAAACGTAGGGGAATCACAATGGGAACGTCACCCCTTCCCATACGGCTTACAAGAGTATATATAGGGGAAAATAGAAAGACACCTAATAGAAACTCCTACTAGGAAACTAATCCAAATATATTGTGGGCCCAAAATTCGGATCACATATTTAACACTACTCCTACATGCTTCTGCCATTTTTATATACTCCTAGGTTTTTTTTTTACTGATTAGACTGCTAACTCAATGTCAAATGGCCAACACCATGCTGATTTTTAGTGAGGCTAAAGTAAATGGTATTAGGATTTCATTGGCGTATTTTTTATTCGGTTTTAAAGTTATGGGGCGCTTTTTCAGATAAACATGATAGTTAAGAAGGCTAATATGGACTTCACTCATAATATTGCGAGTAATAGTTGATACTCTACGTTTTGCTGCAGGATATATGGATGAATACGTGTTATACATTTTAGAAATGGTGGATATATATGTTTAGATAATGTGAAAATGATATGGAGTTAAAGATTTGATATTGCTTGCATATTGAGTTAAAAAATACAACGAAAATTGTAAATGATATGTCATGTGTGTATGATGTTTAAAATACTCTAGATAATAGTTGCTAGTGGGTGATGATGTGGCATATTTGCATGTGATTTACTCTATATAATAATTAGTAGTGGGTGATGATATTGCACACTTGCATATCAAGTTTTAGAAGTTAATGGGTATAGTAAGATACTATGAGAAGAATTAGGCAAAGTTCAACAGCCCACAAGGAATTAGGCAAATGCAAAACTTTAATCTCTATGCTGTTTTTTAGTTAATAGCTGCTGTATTTTAACTTTAAGAAAAGCCACAGCTTTGTTTTTCCTCACAATAAAAAAAAGTTACGCAGGCTTGAATCGGAATCAAATACTACTCCATCCGTCACATTTAAATATCTAAAATAATGCAGGAGTATGTTGCCCCCTCCCTATCTTTTTGATTTTATAAATATAAAGTGTAAACGTTGAGAATAGCAAAAGATGCAAAGCCTCTAAAGCAATCTATAAAAGTAATGCAACAAACAGGATAAGCATATGCTCCAAAGAAAAAGCGGAAAGGGAAAGTAGAGAAGCCGTGTGCTTTCTGTATACATATATAGTCTCTAACACACCCATCAATCATGTATCCCCAGCACAAATCAAGGGCGTATTCAGATGCTTATTATGTCGTCTTAATTAATTATTAGGTAGCCGGCCTACAGCTTGAATTGGATGCTCATCGGACAGCAAGATCGAAATGAATCAGGTAATTAATTATTTTAACTTACTGTTGTACATCAATACTGTAGCATACAAGTTGTACTGAACATGAAGCAGCTCAGTCAATTCATTTCTTCCTCTCGAAATGCAAGCTACCACCGGCGAGAGCCTACGCGAAGGTCGACGACGACATCCCCGTTATGGTGAGCATCACGGTGCCATCCGGAATATCTTCAGTGCAACGCAAGCCCGTGGATCTCGTCGTCGTCCTCCATGTGCGCAGTGACTGGAAGGTACCCAAGAACTGCATGAAGCTGCTCGTAGAGGCTGTGAGCATTGTCGCCGAGACGCTTGGGGACGATGACCGCCTAGCGATTCTCCCCGTTCAACCGTCGTTAGCGCTGGTGTCTGCCGCCGAGAGCAGGGAAGCGGCCTCCGCTGTTTCTACGATGGTGATCAAAAGTGTCACCTTTGAAGAAAAAAGAGATGGAGTAAACACGTTGGCGGCATCACTGCTATCGGCTGAATCGGTACATATACTTACCATACTTCATTCAGATTATGAAATAAGATTCTTTGTTCACAACAAGTTTTAACTGAATTTGAACCATTATATGCCTTTTTGGATTAATATTTGATGCTAGGTACGTGCCGCAACAAATTGGAGCTGAATTGGGGTATTTACAGTCCTGGTGCTGGGGCACCTTAAATTAAGTCCAAATTCATACATATATACATACGTATATGCACACAAATTACTTAGGGTGACTTGGTGCCCAAGCACCATGATTTAAATCGAGTACTAGTTTGTACTTAATTCTTTTACTAACTAGTACAAATGAAGTTGGAACTAAATTGAAACGTATAACCTAGGTGCCATATTTATGTAAATATATACTACCTCCGCCACGAAATAGTTATCTCGTTAGAATTCAAAATTTATCTCAAAATAGTTATCTCTTTAGAGTCATCAATCAATCACCACCCATTCAAAATTTTCCACATTCTACCACCAACAGCAACCCACTCTCAAGTCCCAACAGTACACACCAGTCAATAAGCGGTACTATAGTTTCTTCATGTTAAGTATTAATCTAAACTAAACAATATACAATGACAACTACTCCTATATTGGGACATAGAGTAATTAGCAAAACTATAAGAGAAGAGCTAGTGAAACTTGTTTTCTTGTTAAAAAATTAATAATACTTAGCTATATATACCAAGAGGATGAAAATCCAAAATATATGTTCAAATTCGAGCAGAATTTGGGTGTTTCAAATCCTGGTGCCTGTGCACCGTGAACCCCCAATTCGTATGCCATGTATTAGTTACCTCTTTAGCTCTTGACTCTCGAGTGGAATCTAATTTCTTGGACTCATATCTTGTATAATTATTGGAGCATTATTACAGTCCTCGAGAAGATACCATGAGGTATCACTTTTTCTACTATAAATTTGATACCTCTTGCTACCTAGGTACCATGAGATATCAAATTTTATACTAATATTTTGGTACCTTCTCAAGGACCATAAAATTGCTCATAATTATTGTGTTTCTATGTACGTGGAGGTAGATCTTGTTTGGCCGTGGGCAAGATGATAAGGAGAATCGTGCTGGACACATCATTGTCATCTCCAACACAAGCGATGATGGCGTGGCCCCCGTCGAATCCCTTCTCCAACCCTGGAGATTTCCCTCGGTCCACGCCTTCAGCTTTCATAACTCTCGCAACACGAGGACCATGCACAGCATCGTTGCCAGTAGCTGCGACTGCACCTATGCCATCTTGGATGACGAGCATGGCAACACAACTGATGCCTTCCGCACCACCATCAGGAGGATCACCTCCTCTATGCCGATAGAGGTGAAGCTCATTTGCGAGGAGAAAAATGTGGTTCTGTCCTCCATTCAAGCCCCTCTGGTTAGCTACTTCATCTCCTCTGACAAGAAGGCCATCACCATTTGGGCCAATGCTCACCCAAACCCAGCTGCTAATAGTGTGGCAACCACCAACTACATCGTCAACATTCGCAATAAGGGCCAAGCCACACTCTTTCTTGATCAGGTGCCCAATCTGTTGAAAGTTGAAAATGTCCAGAACAACAACCAGCTGCAATCATCATTGGCTGAAAACGTTGTTGTGGCCATCCACGAGGATACGATGGCAGAGATGGTGCGGCTCGAGGCTATCAAAGTTGTGGATCGTATCTCTGCAAATGATAATCAGGATTGGGAGCAGCGCCATGCGGCCGCAGACGAGCTGCGTGGATGGTGGACGATGACCAGGAGCAACAAGTTGTATGCCAAAGTGGACTGGAAGGCCATTGCCATCTCCAGGCTTGCTGCGGAGATGCAAGAGATGGAGATACGATTGTACAACGACTACTTGTGGAAGGAGTACATGCTGTCGTGGTTGTCACACCAACGGTGGCAGTTGCCTCTGCCGCCGCTATTCATTGACAGGCAAGCAACCGATGATGTTCCAGTGCAGCTGGAAATAAATGCAAAGCGGCTGGGTGGCACAAATTTGGCAGATCAGAACAGGCAAAAACATGGTGTCGCGGTGCTGGCATGTGTCAAGGTGCCAGAAACCGGGTTGGCCAAGCAGAAGACCCCATTTGTCGACTTGGTTGTCATACTCGACGTAGGCTGTCAAGCCATAGAGATGGAGGGGAAAGCTCGGGAAAGGCTGCAGATTCTTAGCGAGGCCACGGGTGTCATCTTGGATAAGCTCAAACACAAGGACCGTCTTGCAATCATACCCGTCCAATCCTCTCTAACCAAGCATGGAGCATCCCTCTTGGAAATGTCGGATCAAGGGAGGGAACAAACCTTTACCAAGATACAGTCCTTCATAAACCTTGTGGCCAGGAAATCGACTAAACATGCCACGCAGGTATGGAATTATTTTATATATATATATATATATATATATAACATATGACCTATTATAAATATATAATAGGGCTCTGGTAGTAGAATTTAACCTTGACATTTCATCTTTTCTAATCGAATGAATCATATCTGTTTGTATTATCACCTCAACTGCTGATACTAGAATATTTTTTTATACTTAGTTATAAATCAACTGTTCATATCATCACGTGTAGTGATAATACTGGTAATACAGTAATAGATATCACCATGATGGTGTTCATATATATCTATATATGAGTATGATGTTTTTCCATTTTCACCACCGATATATGATTTTATTTTCTAAAATAAAGAGTTCTTATATTTTACAGTACATAATGTGTTTACTATCAAATCTGTTGGAAATATAGTAATGATTCGGCATATTTTAATCCAGAAAAATAGGATGCTAAACATGACATGTGAACAAACGGATGATCCAGTGATGCTAAACTTGAACATGTTAATAACAAGAAAACCATGTTTAACACTAAAGTAATAAAAGTGACATACCCGATGAACACTCTAGTACTGGGTGAGGCAGTGTTAGTGTAGTTGCCTCCGTTGTCATTGTCGTTGTCACCTTTCCAGGTACTGGTCGACATATTGATGTAGAGGAAAAAGCCGATGCAGTGCGGAGAGCAATCGCGCGAGAATGCGCTCCCCAAATCGTCTGCCTGTACCCATGCATGCAGGGACTCAACCGAACGGTGTTCCGGAGGCCTACTCGTTCCGAACACTCATCTGTGCAAGTGCTCAAAACACTGTTGGAGAAAGGGGCATCACTCCCGGTTGGTAATCCCCTCTATAATCCCGGTTTTGCAACCGTGACCATGAATCCGGGACTAAAGATGCCCATCTTTAGTCCCGGTTAAAATAATCGGGAGTAAAGATTGATCTTTATTCCCGGTTGGTGTTACCAACCAGAAATAATGATGGAAATCTTTATTCCCGATTAGAGTTACCAACCGGAACAAAAGAGGTAGCGCCAGGCTCTCTAATCCCTATTCTTCTCTTTTTCTTTTTCATTGTTCTTTGCATATTGATTTCACACCAAAATCACATGGATCAACATCACAAAATCGAACATTGACATCACAAATTCACACATACATCAGAAATCCACCACAAATTCACACATACATCACAAATCCACCACAAATCCACACATCCACCACAAAATCCACACATACATCACAAGCCCACCGACGCCTGTAGTCGCCCCTCCCACCGGATCCGGCTAAGGGGAGGGCACTGCTGCCGCCCCCCGCCTCCCACCCGCCTCCCGCCGCCCACCGCCTGCCGCCCGGCACCGCAACCCCCTTCGGCCACCACCGCCCGCTGCCGCACGCCGCTTCCCCCTTCGCGCGCTGCCGCCGCTCGCTGCCCGCTGCCGCCGCCTCCTGCCCGCCACCGCCACCATAGCCCGCCACCGCCGCCGTCAGATCGAGAGGTTGGAGGGAGCAGATCGAGGGAGGAGAGATGGGAAGGGAGGAGGAGGGATCGAGAGGGGAGTGGATCGGAGGAGTTAGCTAGAGGAGGAGTGGAGGAGTTAGAGACTTAGAGGTGTGAGAGAGAACGAGGCGCGATAATAGATAAGGACGAGTGATCTGATCAAGGCATGTGCGCGCGGCTTCGGTATCTAGTCCCGGTTTGTATAAACAACCGGGACTAAAGATCTATTTTTAGTCCGGGTTGTTTATACCAACCGGGACTAAAAATAATTGGGGTCTGCCCTTGACCCGACAACTTGTTGAGCCGGGACTAAAAATGATTTTTAGTCCTGGTTGGTATCTAAAAATTTTAACCGGGACTAAAAATAATCGGGACTATTGTGGAAATCGGCCGACCTGGCGAAGATCACTTCTCCAGTAGTGAAACCAAATAATGTAGAGGAAGCACAGGAACAGAGAAGCAGAGAGTGTCTCTAGAGAAACGATGGAGAAAGATAATGAATTGTATTCTCTATCTAACCTGGAGGTGGAAGATAACACGCACGCGAGAGAGAGATAAGTTTCGGGATAGATTAATCCCAATTGACCGCTCCGCCTGTTACTAAAGTAACGTCGCCCGTCGATTACACCTTTGTTCATCCTATTGGCTACTTCTTTGTTCATCAAAATAAAACGTAACTTTAGGGAGGCAGGCAACCCTGTCCCTGCATGCCACGCCATGCCTCGGCCCTGCTAGCTCGGCTCGGTGCGTGCGCGTGTGGCAATCTCACACCATCTCAACTACTCAACAAGTGCTCTCCAATAGTAGCCTATATATTTCAGATGAGGTTTCTTCTCGTTGATTTCCAATGTGATATTAATTTTTTAACATTAATTGTGGACCCATAAAATTTACTAAGATTAAATTGGCCTAGCCCATTTAATTCTAACAAAATTTAACTATTTTAGAGGTAGATGAGAAAAATAGCACTCCTCTCTCAACCTTAATTGTATAACTCGGTTGAGTGGACACATTGCGGCTCTGCCACAGTATATATCCGCACTTTGAGATCAATACAAATGTCACGTGAGCTACAACAGCCATCACTATTTATCGTTATATGACTTCATTTCTTTTTTTTCCAGCCACCTAAACAAGCACAACATAATATTAAAAAATTGCAACTCTAGTACATAGTCCATGTTTGCCATTTTTTTTCTTCGTTGAACTTCAATGCGTACTATATATCTTTAGTACAATTTCCATTCTGATAGTATATACAAATCAGAATACATATTTTAAAATTGTAAAGCTAGAAACATTGATTTTGTTTCACCCCCCGATGAAATGAATAGACATGCATGTGAGTTACGTACTGCAAGTTATAAATATGATTCTATGTATCTATATGCGTGTGTAACATTCCCCTTGTGTCCTGCAGACCTGGAGGGAGAAGCTCAAGAACACCGTGAAGTTCGCAAGGAATTGCATCCATATCAGCTCCGTCAACTCGTCCCTTCCCACTCCGACATTCCCTGCAAGCCAACACGCAAACTCCACAACTGCACGATCAGCGCCAGCTGCTGCAGATGGCATCAGCTGCAAGCTGTCGAAAGTATTGTTGACTAATGCCATTCAGGTATGCTAGCTCTATGTGCTGTAACCTTAAAGATACAATGTTTCTTTGACTTAATTTCTTCAAAATAAATACATTTTACTAGCTACCAGAAAAATTAGCCAAAATCTGTCTGGCCCTTCTAATTAAATATTATTATCTTTACTAATCTAAAATCTCTAATGAACCACTATGTAAATCATCAATAAAAACTCTAGCAAGTAGTACATTAATCTAACAACTAAAAAATTGCTACAGCTTCAATTGTTCATGACAAAAAGAGAGAGAAATGCATTTTGACGCAAGTGGGCTTTAAATAAATTTTTACTAAGAAAGAACGGGTTGTTGGTCTATGTCTCTTTGAGGGTGCATTAGGTGGTGCATTGATGTGTGTATATGTGGTATCGCATGAATAGTGGTATGTTTGCTTATGGGACTATCATGTATAAATCCAACAAAACTATAAGTTATTTGTGTCCAACTTGAGCATTCTTGTAGCAGTTGCTTCGTAATGGGTTAGGCCCAACCAGCTTCCGTGAAAGGGGACTGGAGAAGGTCCATGTTAGGTCCTTATGTATGGGTATTGGTACACGTAGTTACAAAGATGCATCATTTATATTTTTACAAGAAGATGCAACCAATATCACACAAGTAGCGGCAGCAGCTAGCTCCTAGCTAACACCACAAGCAATAGCTTGAGAGCTAGAATTGAATTGTAAACTTCACCTTCACCTGATTGCAGCCCGTTCAAAAATCTATAAGTGACTACTTAACATGCAGCAATCACGAAAATCTTCAGCATGCAATCTTTCTAAGGAAGGCTGGGGTATTTTGTATCATTTTTTGCTTTCAACAATTATGCCATACATGTATTAACTACCGGAGAGAGAGATTTAAACATCACTGTGCACCATAATTTGCTTTACACAACCAATCTGGTAGCTAGAGATCATTTTTATTTGCTTTACACAACCAATGTCTTAGTTCAATTGCCAGTTGCTTTGAAGAACATACATGACACCATCTTATTCGACAAGGTAAAAAAAGGTGAAATATGTTGCAATAGTATCATATAACAATCATAGGTAATGAAACGTAGCATTTAGTAGGTCTATATAAGGAACAACAGTACTCAATCAAAGATGAAACCGAAAAGAGGTTAGGATGATATGGGCCAAAATAATATCCTGATTCTTTACACATTGAAGTAGATCGTGCCGTATAAAGAACAGGCCTATCATACTAGTTAGTATAGAAATCGAAAACACCTTAACAACTCTGTGCTTAAGTTTATGACAATCAACATATTATGACAATACCATGTGGTGCTAGTATGCAGATACATATTATCATTTAAAAAATCATTAACCTTTTTTTCTGTCAATATGAAAAAAAACAATTAGTTTGTATATGCAATGACGCGTGGGTGTAGATGCTAGATAATCGGCCACAAGAAGAGAAGGATCGTATGGGAGCCATCATTGTCATTTCTGACAACCATGACAATTCCATCTGCATGGAAGCACTAAGTACCAACTACAATATCCACACCTTCGGCTTCAATGGAATGCACAATGTCAGGGCCATGTACAACATAGCAAGCAGATCCAATGGCATGTATGACTTGCTTAACGATGACCGCAACTTGATCACAGAGGCCTTCATATCCTGCATGAACAAAATTACCTCCATCATTGTCCTGGGTACAGAGGTAGACATGATATGCAGCAGCTCAAGATCTCCTGGTGTAGCATTGTCTACCATTGAGTGTGGCCAATTTGAGTCATTTATGATCGACAATGCCAGGAAGTCTACCATCATGGTCGGTGCCCTTCATGCCACTTCAGTGAAGAACTTCCTGTTCTACATGGATAATGTCCGTGAGGACGACCATGACAATATCTTCAAGTTGTTCACAGTTCATGTCAGGTGTCTTCCAACACCAAACACGGTGGATGAGAAACTCAACAATCAAGTAGAGGTTATCTGGAATGGAATTGATGGAGAAAATAATGACGATGTAGTGGCTAGCATTGCCCGTGTCGCTGCCGTCGAAATCATCACTAGAATCACTGACCCCAACTATGATCAGAAACTTGTGGGACGCCTCTCCAGGGAGATGGAGACGATGCAGGACATCAGTTTGAGAGTGATGGAGAAGATAAATGGCAACCTGCAGTATGTGGAGAGGGCTGATCCCAGTTACAACGAAAAACTGGAATAACGCCTCCCATGGGAGATGCTCCTGAAAGTTTATGAGTACAAACAAGCAGCCGAGAAGGTTCTTAGAGAAAGGAAGGAGTTAGCGAAGACGGCGCAGAGGCGGGTCTTTCAACATTCAAAGGTACTCGAAAATGTAGTTAGCTTAATTGTCTTGTTGATTACTTGGTGAATCTAATATGCAGTAGTTCATGGGTTCCAATCGTACCACTTCTCTTCATGCTGTTGTCCTCCTCTTTTCCATTTTTATCTTATTATGGTTTTCTAACATATAGTATTCCCTAAAAAGATGCATCCAATATATCTTATGTCAACATGGAAAAGTTCATTATTATTTTTTTCCACACGCTTTAACCACAGATGGCTATGATATCTCGTGTTGCAAAGGTCTGATATTAATTGTATTACATTATGTAAAACAAACATTTTACTCATATTGTTTTAATAAATGGTTTGCATATTTTAAATCAACAAAACTAATATTTTTTTTAAAAAAAAAACTTTGTTGTGTACATAGATCTCAAATGTCCACCTTGAACATCCTGGATACACCACTTTGCACTTTGATGGAGGAGAGCCTCACCAAAGAGTTGGAGGAGATGGAAGCCAATCTGCTGAGGGAGATATTTGATCCCAATTACTATATAAAGCTGGTGGATCGTCTTGTGAGGGTATTATCTCCTGAAGGTTCCGGTGGCAGTACTCGATATGCCGGCATGAGGCACAAGCTCACATTGGTGATAGAGAACATGGAGGCCAACCTTTCTGGGCTGATAAACGGTTCCACTAACAATAAACAACTGGTGGAACAACATGTAAGTAACATGTGCAAGAGTTGTTCCAACCATGCTCGAGCTCACGGCCAGGTCCGTTTGGCAATGGAGATGGAGAAGATGAACATTCGCCTCGGGAAGGAAATGGTGACGATGATATGTAGGCAGATCATTGTTCCCGTGTACTATAAAAACCTTATGGCACGCAGTGCTATGCTGACGTGCCTCACTGATTCTGAAAGCCAAAGAGCAAATGGCAATGCTCTCTACGCATTGACGATTGAGAAAATGGAGATCACTCTCGTGATGGAGATGGACAAGGTGGAGGCCAATCCAGAGCGTATGGATAAAATTGTTAGTAATTACAATGAAAAAATGGTGGTACTTCTCGTGAGGGAAATGTTCCTCGAAGTTTCCAAATATGCACAAGTTGCTGGTGAGGCTCGCCTGTCGAGGGAGATGGAGGATATGGAAGATAGTCTGGTATACAAGGCGACAACAGATACTGATTACCCTGATTACTACAAAAAACTTGTATCTAACAAGCTATCATACATGCTTTCCTGGCTATCATTTCAAGGGTCTTGTGAGCAACCGCCACATTAGCAGATGTTGATCACTACTAATGTCTGGAGGTGACTAGTAATGGATTTTACATGTGGTTGGTCATGCTGCCTGTAACTAAAGACCTACGGAAATGAACCATTTCCACAAGCGGGTGACCAGCCACCTGACGTTTGACGAGAAGTTTTTCATGGACGGACATCCTAATCGCAGACACATATGAAAATGTTTTCTACAGGCGGTGTAGCAAGGACAGCTGCCTGAAAATGATTCTTTTTTTCTCTCTATGTACGTTGTATATACTGGAGAGCAAGTCATCAATGACGTATTTGCAATTTTGACTGGTTCAATGCGAGTTTCCTAATTGTCGACTATGTAACATGATATGCTAGAGCACACTAGTAGATATACTATAAACATTTTGATATAGTTTCTCAGCTACAATGTATTATCATATATTACTGGCCACTTTTTACTGATCAACTTCTCCCTTTGTTTCTTCTGTTTCCTGCCGTTTATATAGTAGTACCTGCAGGCATTGTTCAAACAATTGGATTGAGTTTGTATTAAGGGGCATACTTTTTTAGGTTTGCTTATTTGACCTCAATTTTCAAAATTGAAGATGAATGCTGACCCTATTATGTGTCAGCAAGATAACAGTGTTAACTCATTTGACCCTATTATATGAAGCATTTTTTGTTTGGACCTTCCTAACATATTTGTAAAGAATTTGACAGCCTTGCTAGATTTGAGATAATTTTGACAGATCTGATTTCAATTTAATAAATTTAGGTTCAGTATGATAAATTTGAATTTAATTTTAAAAAAAATTGACGCAACTATAACTCATATACAAAATTTTAACATCGTTTCTCCTATTTTGTCCATCCCAAATTAAAGTAAGAGCACAGCAGTAGTCAGAGATAGGTGAGATGCTGGGGTCAGGATGCAGTCCAACTCAGCCGTGATGCAGTCGGCCGCCACTCCCTTCCTCTACTCCGAGCGCAGCAGCGGCCGCCACTCCCTCCCTCCCTCTGCTCCAAGCATGGCAGCAACCGACGGCACTCCTTCCTCCTCACCGAGTGCAGCAGCCGCCGTGGCCGCTCCCTCCCTCGGCGCACGGCCACCGCCACTCCCACCGCCACGCACGGCCGCAGCCGCCGCTCCCTTCACGCACAGCCGCTGCCGCTACTGCTCCCTCCACCCCGGCCAGCCGCCACTCGTTCCCTCGGCGCACGGCCACCGCCACTCCCACCGCCACGCACGGCCGCAGCCGCCGCTCCCTTCACGCACAGCCGCTGCCGCTACTGCTCCCTCCACCCCGGCCAGCCGCCACTCGTTCCCTCGGCGCACGGCCGCCGCCACTCCCTCCTCCACGCACGGCCGCAGCTGCCGCTCCCTCCGCGCACAGCCGCTCCCGCCACTGCTCCCCTTACCCCAGCCAGCCGGTCGTCTCTGCTGCCACCGCACCCTCCACCCTAGCCGCTCCCTCCACCCCAGCCGAGCGGTCACAGCTCCCACCGCCGCTTCTTCCGCTACCGCCGCTGGTCCTTTCCTCTCTACGTGCGGCCACCCCCACCGGAAAAAAATTCTGTGCGGCAGGGCCGCATCCCGCACCTCTTGAGGCCCTACCTCAGATTTGCGCCACGTCAAAAAGAACGGATCTTAATGCAGCTTCTTCCCCACGCAGTTCTGATGCTCTCGATCGTCGTCTTTTATCCTCTCTCCCCCTTTGTTGTCCGTACTCCGTCGGAATACATGGCTGCTGATCTGTGGTCACAACAAGGAACTCGGGCATAGTCGTGGATTCAGTGGCTTAAAACGAAGACTAATTTGCTAGTTGAACTGAACTCCATTTTTTTTTTATCTCGTTAGCATGATAGCATCCAGCGGTGAACTGGAAATAGCAAGGATGATTTAATGGTTAAAATTTAGAACTTTCTTGGTAATATACTTGTTCGATTGAGGCACAAAGCCTCCAATTTCATCTCCGACAAGCAGATGTGTGCAGCAGAAGGTGCTAGGGTAGAATTAATCGTGACTTGTACTACCCAATGCGATTTCTGATAATAAGGATTATAAGAAATTGGAAGACGAGCTCAGACGGGCATGGAGAAGGAAAGAAGTCCTTGTTATGTGAAAGAACCCGTCGGAATCCAGGCCTCCAAGTGAGATACGTGGGATCGCAGCCATGGATTTGGGTGGCGATGGCCTTCCGCTGAGGAAGGGGATGGGAATGGGGAAAGCTGCTTTAAGATCCGTTCTATTTGACGTGGCGCGAATCTGAGGCAGGGCCTCAAGAGACGAGGGATGTGGCCCTGCCGCATAGAATTTTTTTCCGAGGGGGTCGGCATAGCGGTGTTTAGTGTTGGGGGTATTTTGGTCACTATGGTGTTGTAATTTTTTTTTAAATGAAGTTCTAATGGTGGAGTAAAAACAGGTTCAGACGGCAACTTTGATTTTAAAAAAATAGGGTCAAATAAACAAACCGAAAAAATAAGGTCAACTTAATAGTTAAGCTCAGAACAGAGTGAAATAAGCTGGCTGTGACTCGGCGGCAACTAGCTCGCCGGCCTCTTCTTCCAGCGGTCACCGTGGTCTAATCCTCCTCCTCCGCGGCAGCGGCGGGGTTCCCTCTCCTTTCAGCGCCCAAGATGGTTTCGTCCACGGTGACATTGGAGAAGACGACCACAATCCGTAGCGACGACGTTGTCGCCGCTGGCATCGATGCGGCCATGGACAGAGCAACGACGTGAAAATCTTCTCTCCTGAGGGAAGGAAGTGCGGCGAGGGTGGCGCTGCGATCGCAAGTACGTTTTTCTTTTTGTTGTATCTTGGCAGGCCTTTGATCGGCATGTTCCACGATGATTCCCATGGAATCCTCCGTGTCTGCTAGCTTGGCGACATCCAAGAAGATGGCCAACAACACCGGCCAGCAACCCGGCCAATGGTATTTGATGATGATGATGAGCTATGGCAGCAACGGGGCGGCCGCGGCGGTGCAGTCTCTGCGCAACGTGTCCGTCGAATCGGAGCTCGCGGGGTCGGGGGGCCACCAGGTCGCTCGTTGCCCGGAGCGGTGGATGCAGAGCAAGTTCGACCTCGCCGGCCAAAGCCACCAGCTGATCCACGTGCTCGTCATCGCCGACGCCTACACACACTACCTCGCCACCTCAACAAGAGGGACAGGGCACTGGGCAAACGGGCACACGGCGACGGTTCCGACGAGCTTGAGCGGGGAAGGGTGGTGGGGCAGCTGCGACTCGGCGGCAACCGGCTCGCCGGCCTCCTCTTCCCCCTCTCCCGCCGGCACAGCCGGCCACCGTGGCCTCCTCCTCCTCCGCGGGGCGGCGGCGGCGTGCGGTGTCGAGCTCCCGTCCACGTGCGGCTGCGACTCGGCGGGCAGCGGAGCCAAGCGGAGGACGCCAGCCTCGTCGTCGTCGTCTTCCGGCGCACAGCAGCACGAAGCCGGCGGGGCGGGGCGGAGCGGGGGGCGGGCGGGCGGACAGCGGCGAGAAGCCGACAGGACGAAGTGGGGCTGCGGTGGGCGGACGCGCGGGCGGAGTCTTCTTGAGGTCGTCGTCCTCGGCGCCACCGACCGCCGTCACCGTGGCCAGAGAGGGGAGATGGGAAGATGGGGAGAGGGGAGAAAGAAGAGGTGGGGGTGAGAATGACATGTGGGGCCCACGTGGTTTTTATCACTATTAGAGGAATGAGTGTGATATCTGGATAACCTTTCTGAAACTGGCAGCATAATGTAAAAACTCCAATACAGGGAAAAGGATGGAGTTTTATCATTGACACAGTTAACGTTTAGGCGCGCCGCCAAATCATGAGTATGTTATGTGCAACTCGCACTGGTATCCGGAGACAAGCCACCGCAGTGGAGGTAGATGTCTCGGAATGAACACCTGGGAGGGACGCCATCAGGGTGAACACATGTTGGTTTGTCCTAGGCTTAGCAGGCTAGTTAGGACATCCTCTAATGTTGTAGAGACGAGAGACGACGGGCAATTGGGAATTTGAGGATAATAGAAATTAGGATAGGTACCAAGAAGGAGGGAGATGTAGAATATAGAGGGTTTGGCCGTTTGGGTAATAAATTAATTTTGACCATTAATTGGTTGTTGTTTCAATCCTTTTCCTCAAGCCAACGTTGGCGAGCTGCCATTGTTCGCCTACATCCATCCGCTGCCTCCTAACCAGTCCGTTTGCTCTGCCCCACAGCCAATACCGGCCCACTACTCGCCTCACCGCCCGACCGATCCGCTACCCAGCATTGACTGCCGCCTTGCACGGCCATCCCTCTAAAGGCGGTGAGCTCCCCTTTCTTCTCCCTCTCCCTACACTAACCATAACATAGGATCCTAATCCATAGGTTCCTATCAAGTTTGAGGCCCACCACACCAGAGATAAAAAGAGGTCGCCGAAGCTAAAAGAAAAGGACAGAAGCATAAGCATGAATCGTGAAGCACATTTGACAACCCAAACTTTGCAAGATTTGTATGCGGGTGTTGTGTCAAATGACATTTAGAAATTCCGAAAAAAAATTACCGCCTAATTAATGTCGCCACAAATAAAGAATGCGTTGATAACAATCAAAGAGGCTATTTTTTATAGTTCTTCTAGTTGCTTCACTCGATAGTAGGGCCTATATAATTTTCAAAGGTATCCAATTAATTCGGACGTGGCAAATCTTATGTCTGCCAATCAGACAAATTTTTTGAACCACGTAACATCTGTCCAAATTTATAATAACTAGAAAGGAATACCACGCATATGCGCGGGCATCTAATTTAATGTGCTTGAAATATTACTCTACACAAGTGAATATAATGTTTGTATATACGTGACTGTTCCAGATTCTATTGTCAACCTGTTTTTTTGTCAATATTTTGTTTGTGAATATTTTGAATGCTAATTATCCTTGCAACACATAAATTCTAAACTAAAATTACTTACAAACATGAAATCTTTAATTATAGGAAAGTATTATGTGGCAAAAATGAAGTTGGTTCCTATGAACTGTCATCTAAACTATATATTATTTTTAATACATATCAAATCTTCGTTTTGGAGTTCTAAACTTTAAGAAATTCTTGTTCTTAAGAATAGTTATTGAACTTTAAGCAAAAAAAATTGAAATGATTTCTTCAATTTATATTGGGCTTTGGATTCAACAAAATTTATTTAAATTTAGCCCAAATTTTGTCTTAATTCCAGTCATCCTTTCTGTTTCTTTGGGAATATTGGAGGTCTATGTTCTATCAATTGTTCTTAAAATGCTTTTGATCTTGGGATGTAAACATAACTATGTTGAGCATACAACTTGGTATGGGATAAATGTGTCCTTTCTAATGCAGCGAGAATATATCTATAACTAACATAAATATTCGTATTTTTCCGGTCGTCACCTCATAGGTGCGGTGTTTTTTTCGTCCCCCTCGCCTCCCCCCGAATCCCAGTCCGAATTCCATCGCCCCCACCAGAAAAAATTCTCAATCGAAATTCAATCAATCTTCACAATGGGAATTCAACGAAACCCCCCGAATCCCAATTTCACTAAGAATCGGATAAGGCAAACACGTCCCAAAATCGGCACAACCAAATCGGATGAACACACCGCAAGAAAAATTCAACCAATATTTGTCCCCAAAAAATCATCCCACATACATACATCACAAAACTACACTCCCTCCCACCGGATCCACCCTCAGCAGTCGCCGCCGCCGGGTGATCCATCCGTGGCCGCCACCGCCGGCGGATCCATCGCCGCCGGATCTAGGGCGGGAGGGAGGCGAGAGGGGAGGAGGGAGCCGCCGCCGGCCCGCGGTCGCCACCACCGCCGACGGACCCACCCGCCGACGATGCCGACACCGCCATCACCGCCGGATCTGGGGCAGGAGGGAGGCGAGAGGGGAGAAGGGAGCCGCCGCCGCCGCCGTATCCGCCCGTAGCCGCCGCTACCACCGCCGGATCCAGCCGCGGCTACCGCCGCCGCCACCGCCACCGGCGGATCTGCCATAGAAGGGAGGATAGAGGGGGTGGAGGGAGCCGCCGCCGACGCCGCCCCCACCCTCGGATCTGCCGTGGCCGCCACCAACCCGTCGCCACCGACCCGAGAGGGAGAGGAGGAGGGGGGGCGCCGCGGCCGTCGCTTTGAGAGAGGGGATCGGGAGCGCCGCTCGCCGCTCGCTGCTCCGCACCGCTGCAGCCGCTCGGGGGAAGAAGGGGGGACGGCGCCGCCGTCGTCGCTCAGCGAGGGGGGGGGGGAGGGAGGGGGGAATGAATCCTAGGGTTAGGGTATATTTATTTAGGTTAGGATTAATCTGGACCGTCCATTCGATCGAACGGCTCCAGCTGCTCCCATGTCAGGCCGCCGGCCTATTGGGCCACCGAATGGAGGATGCAAAATAGACTTCAATAGAGAAAGGAATTGGGCCAGACATAGAATCGACAAAAGGGAGGGAATATAAACTTTGCTATATTTGGCCCAAACATAGAAAGGAGGATTTTGATTTTTTTCCAATTAAATAATTGTTAAATGATTTTTGTATTATTAAAAATTAGCAATTAAGCTCTGATAATTCCAATAAAATTCCAAAGAGCGTAACTAATCATGGAGAATTTAATAAAATTAAATTTAACCATGTCATTTTATTTTTCACACTTGCTTTACTTGTAAATTGATTTAATTATACACCTACCTACTTAAAAATACCAAATATTTTAATTAATTACATAATGTAAATTTTTCTTAAATTTTTCTCAATTTTTTTGTTCTGTACACTTCCCGTTGCAACGCACGGGCACCTTTAGTGTGTGTCTATATATATATATATATATAGACACACACACACGCACACCCTAATCTCCAATGGCACAAAGGCCTAGCTAGCTGAACGGACTAAAGCCCAACATGGACTCCTACATACCGATCCAAATAACAGAAAAAAAAACCTCGTGAAAGTAAAACTCTGATTACTTGGTAATCCTGCCGCTAAGTATGGAAGGAAAGCATCCACATGCATGCGTACATGCGGACGTTGTGGGAGAGGATTTCGTTTTTTTTTGTGGGTCCTCATCTCCTCTCCTCGCACCACGTGGCTGCTTGAGAGCGCTTTTAGGATGCCACATGTCAGCTTGAGAGCGATTTTAGAAATGTTAATGGACTTTTAGTATATAATAACTACAAAGGAAGCCCGCGCATATGCGATATGCGCGGGCATCTAATTTAATTTGCTTGAAATATTACTCTACACATGTGAATATAATGTTTGTATATGCGTGATTGTTCCTGATTCTATTGTCAACCTGTTTTTTTTCAATATTTTGTTTGTGAATATTTTGAATGCTAATTATCCTTGCAACACATAAATTCTAAACTAAAATTACTTACAAACATGAAATCTTTAATTATAGGAAAGTATTATGTGGCAAAAATGAAGTTGGTTCCTATGAACTGTCATCTAAACTATATGTTATTTTTAATACATATCAAATCTTCGTTTTGGAGTTCTAAACTTTAAGAAATTCTTGTTCTTAAGAATAGTTATTGAACTTTAAGCAAAAAAAATTGAAATGATTTCTTCAATTTATATTGGGCTTTGGATTCAACAAAACTTATTTAAATTTAGCCCAAATTTTGTCTGAATTCCAGTCATCCTTTATGTTTCTTTGGGAATATTGGAGGTCTATGTTCTATCAATTGTTCTTGAAATGCTTTTGATCTTGGGATGTAAACATAACTATGTTGAGTGTACAACTTGGTATGGGATAAATGTGTCCTTTCTAATGTAGCGAGAATATATCTATAACTAATATAAATATTCGTATTTTTCCGGTTGTCACCTCATAGGTGCGGTGTTTTTTTCGTCCCCCTCGCCTCCCCCCGAATCCCAGTCCGAATTCCATCACCCCCACCAGAGAAAATTCTCAATCGAAATTCAATCAATCTTCACAATGGGAATTCAACGAAACCCCCCGAATCCCAATTGCACTAAGAATCGGATAAGGGAAACACGTCCCAAAATCGGCACAACCAAATTGGATGAACACACCGCAAGAAAAATTCAACCAATCTTTGTCCCCAAAAAATCATCCCACATACATACATCACAAAACTACACTCCCTCCCACCGGATCCACCCTCAGCAGTCGCCGCCGCCGGGTGATCCATCCGCGGCCGCCACCGCCGGCGGATCCATCGCCGCCGGATCTAGGGCGGGAGGGAGGCGAGAGGGGAGGAGGGAGCCACCGCCGGCCCGCGGCCACCGCCACCGCCGACGGATCCACCCGCCGACGCCGCCGACACCGCCATCACCGCCGGATCTGGGGCAGGAGGGAGGCGAGAGGGGAGAAGGGAGCCACCGCCGCCGCCGTATCCGCCCGTAGCTGCCGCTACCACCGCCGGATCCACCCGCGGCTACCGCCACCGCCGCCGCTACCGGCCGATCTGCCGTGGAAGGGAGGATAGGGGGGGTGGAGGGAGCCGCCGCCAACGCCGCCCCCACCCTCGGATCTGCCGCGGCCGCCACAAACCCGCGGCCGTTGACCCGAGAGGGAGAGGAGGAGGGGGGGGGGGGCGTCGCGGCCATCGCTTTGAGAGAGGGGATCGGGAGCGCCGCTCGCCGGTCGCTCGCCGCACCGCCGCAGCCGCTCGGGGGAAGAAGGGGGGGGCGCCGCCGTCGTCGCTCTGTGAGGTGGGGAGGGAGGGGGGAAATGAATCCTAGGGTTAGGGTACATTTATTTAGGTTAGGATTAATCTGGACCGTCCATTCGATCGGACGGCTCCAGCTGCTCCCACGTCGGGCCGCCGGCCTATTGGACCACCGAATGGGGGATGCAAAATAGACTTCAATAGAGACAGGAAACAGGCCTGACATAGAATCGACAAAAGGGAGGGAATATAAACTTTGCTATATTTGGCCCAAACATAGAAAGGAGGATTTTGATTTTTTTTCCAATTAAATAATTGTTAAATGATTTTTGTATTGTTAAAAATTATCAATTAAGCTCTGATAATTCCAATAAAATTCCAAAGAGCGTAACTAATCACGGAGAATTTAATAAAATTAAATTTAACCATGTCATTTTATTTTTCACACTTGCTTTACTTGTAAATTGATTTAATTATACACCTACCTACTTAAAAATTCCAAATATTTTAATTAATTACATAATGTAAATTTTTCTTAAATTTTTCTCAATTTTTTTGTTCTGTACACTTTCCGTTGCAACGCACGGGCACTTTTGTATGTGTGTGTCTATATATATATATAGACACACACACACCCTAATCTCCAGTGGCACAAAGGCCTAGCCAGCTGAACGGACTAAAGCCCAACATGGACTCCTACATACCGATCCAAATAACAAAAAAAAAACCTCATTAATGTAAAACCCTGATTACTTGGTAATCCTGCCCCTAAGCATGGAAGGAAAGCATCCACATGCATGCGTACATGTGGACGTTGTGGGAGAGGATTTCGTTTTTTTTTTTTGGGTCCTCATCTCCTCTCCTCGCACCACGTGGCAGCTTGAGAGCGCTTTTAGGATGCCACATATCAGCTTGAGAGCGATTTTAGAAAGGTTAATGGACTTTTAGTATATAATAGATAGATCGATAGAAGATAGATAGAAGATAGATAGATAGATAGATAGATCTCGGGAAAAAAAATACTAGGTTGCAGTGACGAACTGACAGTAGACCTGCCTGTTGACTACTGAATAAAGATTTGAGTCCCAGCAGACGCTTAAGACTTTAGAGTGATAATAAAAACAATTCAGGCAGCCAGACACCTGGTGTCCGGGTAAACATTTAATTAACTGAATTGCTGACCTTCTTTCTATAGAAATTGCATCCCTAAATGTTACAGATTTTGGGACACCGGATGAGCTTTGAGATTCGTGCTGTAGGCCTTCTCCTCCAACTCCAGCGACCTCCTCTTCTTCTCCGGCGCCGGTGACACCCTAGACTCCGGCAGAGGACCCTACGGGTTAGGGTCCCGGGGTGAGAGGGGAGGGGGAAGGGGAGCAGTTCGCCGGCTCTAGAGGGATGGTCAGGGTAGGCGGCGGATCGGCGGTGGGTGGCGGATCGGGCGGGCGGCGAGGCGGCGGCGGCGGCGCCGGAGCCGCGGGGCTGGAGGAGGGCGGTGAGCCAGCGTTGGTGGTGGGGGCATCTCGTCGCTGACGCTCGGGGAGGAAGGAGGGGGAGGAGGCTGGCGGGGGGGGGGGGGGAAGGGGCGGTCTCGCCAGCAATCGTTGATTCCCTCCAGCAAGTCGGCGAGGCGAGCGGTGGCACGGTGGGGCGGTAGCGGCGGGGGATCGGGCGGAGCGGACGAAAACACAATGCCGCGGCGGAACAAGCGATGCGAAGGGAACGGAAGGAGGAGAGGTAGGGTTAATGTCTCTGCATGAATCTTAAAACATATCCGATGGTCCAAAATTTGAGAGATGGGAGGTGGGATTTTCTGTCAGTTCCCAATGTTGAGTGCTCTATATTACTTCCAGCCTACGTTATCTTTTCTAGATGCAGGGTTCTTTTGTTTTCGGTATTTGTATCAGAGGGTGCCGATATGGCGAAATTTCGGTCCGAAATTTCTCAAATTCTGAATAAAATTTAGTCAAATTTGAACAATAATTGAACAAATATTGCCAAAATTCACAAAAAATTTAGAAAATTAAAAATTTCGGTCGAAATGATATCATATCTGGGCATCCGAAATACCTGATATTTCAGTCCGAAATTTTGATTATATGATCGACTAATGTACATTATCTACTAAGTCCACGTTATCTGTATGCTACATATATAATCTCCTACCTCTATGCTACATATATAATCTCCAACCTCTAGCTGTACGCCGATTAACGAACTACGAACCTAAGTAACACTACGAAATTACAATGGAGCGAGGTTGCGTTGTGCTGCTTCTCGTGCTCTTGATCTGCTCAAGTGTCCTTGCCTTAACTAGTGGCGTGGGGCTCCACTTCGAGCTCACCCATGTCGACGCCAAGGGAGGCCGCTACACCACGACGGAACGCGCACGTCGCGCCGTCGATCGCAGCCGGCGGCGGCTGGCGGCATCCATGTCGTCCGCCGGGCACAGCGACGTGCGCGCGCCTGTGCAGCGAGCGCAGGGCGAGTACTTCACGGAGTACCTCATCGGCGACCCGCCGCAGCACGCGGAGGCCATCGTCGACACCGGCAGCAACCTTGTCTGGACGCAGTGCACCGACTGCCTCGCCGTCGCCGACCGCTGTTTCAAGCAGCACCTTCCTCTCTACAACTACTCCGCGTCGCGCAGCGCCAAGCCCGTGCCGTGCACCGACGCGCTCTGCCAAGCCAACCCGTACGGGCACTTGTTCCTCACTGGTGGAGAAAGGAGCTTTACTCCCGGTTACCCCTATAGTACTACCAATCCGGAACTAAAAATAGTGATCTTTAGTCCCGCGTGAAAAAACCGAGAGCAAAAATCCATTTTTAGTCCCGGTTGGTGTGATAGAGCCTCTTTAGTCCTGGACTAAAGATGGAGTTAGGCTAAAGATAGAGCTGGGCTAGCTAGATCCAGTTGCTCCATTATTATTTTCTTTTCTTTATTGTTTTTAATAGATTGATTTCACCCCATCCCATCCCATAATCCCAAATAAATTATCCCCAAATCCTCAAATCCTCAACTCCCTAAATCGATACATCATAGATACATCACAAATTTTACAAAATTCATCACAGATATATCACATTCACATCACACACAAATCAAATACACAGATCCGAATCACAAATTCTTAAAAGAAGAAAAAAAAAGCCCGTTGCCACTGCCGCTGCCGCGCAGGCCGCCGGACGATAGATAGAGATTAATCTATCTCTATCGGGCATTATCTTAGGGCCCATCACAGATGAGTCATCCGTGACGGGCCTGAATGTCATCTCAATCGGGCATTAGTGTGGAGCCCGTCACCGATGAGTCATCTGTGATGGGCCCTACGGCAATACTCGATTGAGATAGATTAATCTCTATCGGCCTTAAACTAAGGCCCGTCACCGATGACTCATTTTTCATCTTTACATTTGAAGTATTTGTATTTGTGAGTGCAAAATATATAGCTGCTGTGTAATAATTCATTTTATTAGTCATAATACATTTTCGGATAGTAAATGATTTCAAATGGAAATATGGTCAACAACAAAGTTGTAGAGCCTTTCAAGATCTACAAGTTTTATTTTGGTTATTTTTCTATATAACTTTTTTCCCAACAGTTTGAAATTGAATTTGAATATATGACAAATCTAAACAGTATTTGTAAATTCTAAATGATTTCAAATGGAAATATGGTCAACAACAAAGTTGATCCTCTCATCAAGATCTACAACTTTTATTTTGGTCATTTATAATAAAACAAAATTAGCCATATAAATGACTACACATATCAAGTTTTTGTAATAAAACAAAATACTTCATTTATTACAATAGATAAGTATAAATGCATCGGTCACAAGGTTCTGCCTTCCGTATGATCTGAACGAGCATATGCCACAGGCTCTTGGGGATCATTGTCAAGGTCAATGTGAGGTCTTACATGAAGATTATGTTTGTATTCTTCTTCATCGACGACGTTGTCAACTCCTACAATTCAGCGCTTTCCATCCCTCACGATGTGCATCTTTTTGTTTGAAGGGTCTTTTATGTAGAATATCTGCTCGACCTGTTTCGCAAGTACAAATGGTTCATCAGCGTATCCCACCTTTAATGGATCTACTAAAGTGAAACCTTCCTTGTCGGCTTTGACACTAGTGCGTAGATTCACGCAACGACAGTGGAACAAATGAACCTTGAAATTGACGTAGTTTAGCTCCCAGATCTTCTCAATGCGGCCGTAGTATGTGGTTGACCCAACTTGATCCTGGAATGCATCTATACGGACGCCGTTGTTTTGCACTGTGCTTTTGTCATCTTGTTTGATCGTGTAGAATGTGTATCCATTTATATCGTATCCTTGCCATGTGTCTACGGTCCAATCCCCAACAACTGTACAGTCTCATTTGGGACATCCGTGGACATTGTCACACGATTCTTGAACCATTCGTTGAACCGAGAATTATGTTCTCTGTTAATCCATGCATCATATCGCCCCAAGTTCTCATCTCAGATTTTCGCTAAGTGCTCCTCAAAGTATGGGCCAACTTCTGCCATATGTTGGAGCACAGCGTAATGAGCCTGCGCGTAGGATGCTTGATCGGGCATAATTCTTTTTCTTCCAATTGTGCCAACACCTGACAACCTTCCCTCGTGACGAGACGCAGGAACTCCGATAGGATCAGCATCGGACATGTTATTGACACAGAACTCAATAGCCTCCTCGGTCGTGTAACCTTCAATGATGCTCCCCTCGGGTTTAGCTCTGTTACAAACGTACGACTTCAGAACTCCCATGTACCTTTCAAACGGCCACATTTCCCTTTGAAAAGCCGGGCCACATAGTTTTGTTTGCTTCACCAGATGAACAGGGAGATGAACCATTATATCAAAAAAAGAAAGTGGGAAAAACATCTCCAGGTGACAGAGGGTATTCACAGTATCGGTCTGCAACCCATCTAGATCTTCTGGATCTATAACCTTCTGTCCAATTGCTTTGAAGAAGGCGCACAGATGTTGGATCGTGTGACGCACTTTCGGTGGTAGAATGCCTCTGATAGCAACTGGCAAGATTTGTGTGATTAGCACGTGGCAATCGTGAGACTTCATTCCAACAAGTTTTAGATCGTCCAATTTAACATACTTACTTATCCTCGCTGAATAGCCCGATAGAACTTTAATATCCTTCAAGCATGATAATATTGCGATTTTCTCATCCTTCGACAATGTGTGGCAGGCTGGAGGGAGGTACACTCTACCTGTCTCTGCATCTCGTATGGGCTGGAGTTCACTGCGAATATTCATGTCCTGTAGATCAAGGCGCGCGTTTAACCCGTCCTTTGTCTTCCTGGGAATATTCAACATCAGGCAACCAAACTCTCACACACATTCTTTTCTACATGCATGAGGTCAATGCAATGACGGACATCAAGATCTTTCCAGTAAGGTAGCTGCCAAAATATGGATTTTTTCTTCCACATACCCTTCTCCTTTGTCTTGCTACGTTTTCTTTTCTTCCCAAACTCATTGCTTATGTCCTTGACCATATTGTGGACCTCATCTCCGGACAAATCTTTGGGAGCAGGCTGAAGTTCTTTCTTACCGTTAAAAATTTTCTTCTTTCTTCTAAATGCGTAACGTAGCGGAGCCACCTCCGATGACCCATGTATACCATCTTTCGTGATTTCTTCAGCCACCGGCTTCGTGTATGTTCCTTGCAATCGGAGCATGCCTTCTTTCCTTTTATAGTTTGTCCGGAAAGATTACCGAGTGCAGGGTAGTCATTAATGGTGCAGAACAATAGAACTCTTAGCTTGAAGTTCTCCTGACCATATGCATCCCAAGTTTCCACACCTTTTTTCCAAAGAATCTCAAGATCGTCGATAACAGGCTCCATGAATACATCGATATCATTGCCGGGTTGCCTCGGACCTTGGATTAACAAGCACAACATAATATATTTCCGTTTAAAGCATAACCATGGAGGGAGGCTATAGTTCGCAATAAGAACTGGCCAAATGCTGTGAGTACTACTCATGTCACCGAAAGGATTTATGCCATTCGTACACATACATATCCTCATGTTTCTAGGGTCGGCAGCAAAGTCTTTGTGTTTTCGATCGATATTCCTCCATTCAATCGAATCCGCTGGGTGTCTAAGTATACCATCATTCCTTCTCTCCGTGGCGTGCTAACGTACTAACTTTGCTTCGTTCGGGTTGGCAAAGATTCTCTTGAAACGATCAATGATAGGTAGATACCACACAACCTTTGCCAGACCACCCCTCTTTGACTTTTTTCCTTCGTCAGCACTTTTATCGAGAAGCCTTGCAGACAGGACAAGCAACCAAGTCTGCATATTGCTTGTGGTACAATATGCAGTCGTTTGGACAAGCGTGAATTCTATGGACCTCTAACCCAGTGGACACAGAACCTGCTTTGCTTCGTATGTCATCTCGGGCAATGTGTTCTCAGCAGGAAGCATAGCCTTCAAAATTCCTAAAAGATATGTGAAACTCTTGTCTATCCATCCACTACTTGCCTTCAGCTTCATTAGGTCCAAGATAACTGACAACTTAGTGTGTTTTGCTTTGCATCCAACGTACAGAGGCGTCTCGGAATCACTGACCAACCTGCTGAACTTCATTCCATCTCTCTCATTCTGGGCTGGGTCCTCAACGTCACGTAACATGTCTTGCAGCAGATCGTGATCCACATCAACCATTTCACCGCCCAATGGAGAAGGTATAAACATGTCATGCTCATCTTCATCTTCCTGATTATGCGCACCACTTCTGACTGCTGCTGCTCCACTTCCTGATTCTTACTCTCCATGCTTCACCCAACATGTATAGCCCTTCATGAATCCTCGTTGTATCATATGACCGTGTACATCCTCTCCGCATTCTCATTCTTGCAATCTGCACATGGACAACACATGTAATCACTGTTTCTTCTTTTCCGATCCTCCTCCGCGGCGTTCATAAAATTTATTACGCCCTTTTTGTACTTCGTAGAATGACGTTTCAAATTTTTCGCATACATCCAACTTCGATCAATTGCTACAAAATAAAAAAAAACAAATTAGAGGCACATCTTCTAAGATCAGTATTGCAAAAGTAAGACGTGATGAAATTGCTCAATTAATGATTAATATTACTCACTTGATTGCTCCATTTTGATCACTTTTGGGAATTTTCTGTTTTCCTTGGAAAAAAGACAAAAAATCGCCCCCTACAGCCTCCCACCAAAATAGTGAACAGTGGGATACAGTTACACTAGGTGGTGGGGGGGTATTTATACTGTGCAACAAATATCTGTAACGGCCCTAAAACAATCAACCGTGACGGACATATAAGTAATCTCTATTGGGCCTTAATAAAATCCCGTCAAATAAGAGTGTCATCTGTGACGGGCATTAAAGTTATCTCAATCGGGCCTCTAGTTGGTGCCCGTCACAGATGACTGTCATCTGTGACGGGCTTCTTTTAGGGCCCGATTGAGATATGGAACCCTCATCTCAATTGGGCCTCAACTATGGCCCGTCACAGATAAGTGTCATCTGTGACGGGTTTTAGTTTTATGCCGATATACCATGGCTGTGCGGCCATATCTCAATCGGGCGAAACTCCGGCCCGATTGAGATTACTTCCTTGTGACGGTCCGCAAATTCCAGTCTTGTTAGGGGTCGTCACAGATGGAAGGATCTGTACTAGTGTCTCTGAAACAGGGTTAGGTGATAGCTGCTGCTTATTGCCGACGTCAGCAATGTCGTCTGTACCATCAGTACCCAACAGCACATGTCCGGCGCCAGCATCCACGGCGAGGCCGCCGGAGCCGAAGAAGAAGGCTGGTTTAGAAGGAGTCCGCAGCGACATGGAGTTGCTGCTCAGCATTAGTACCACCGCTGAAATGTCCGGCCTATCGGCTGGATTCTCCTGGACACACAGTAACCCAATCTGCACGCAGCTGAGCACCTCGTTTTCACGGTACCGACCACCCAGGGACGCGTCCACTGCGTCCGCCAGCGATCGTGTCCTCCACTTCTCCCATACCTACACACAATATAATGGAGCTTGTTGTTTATGAACTGGCCGGGAAAAGCTAGAGCAAATATATAGAAATCAAGAATTAGGGTTCTCAAATGTACTTACATAGCTCAGTAGATATATGGAGTCCATGCATTCGGAAGAATCTGTCCTTGTGGAAGCATAAATGCCGTTGTTCCTTCTCCCAGTCACCATCTCAAGAACAATCACCCCAAAGCTGAACATATCTGATTTTGTGGAGACATGCCCACAGTAGGCATACTCCGGCGACATATACCCACTGCACACAAAGAGTTAAACAATAAAGAGAGATGATAAGTGCCTGATCGACAGATCAAGTTGATCATGTCTCAATAGGACGATGTTCGAATCATTCAATTGTTCATTAAGATGCATCGGAAGAGGAACTTATAATACATATACTTACAGGGTTCCAACAGGTCGTCGTCTTGTAATATCCTTTGACTGATCTCCACCAAATGCCCTGGCAAGGCCAAAATCTGAGATCTTGGGGTTCATTTCCCATGTATGATCCCTATGTATGATCTTCTGGCTAGACTCTTCATGCAAATATAAAAGGCCTCGAGCAATTCCATAAATTATCATAAACCTTTTCCTCCAGTCTAATTGTTGTCGTTTATCAGAATCTGACAAATTAAATACACCAACAGTCTAATCAATATATGGATGAAGACACCTTAATTATGGCACTGCGTTCCATGGATGTCCATAATATGCTCAGTATGAGACTGATATGTTCGCTGTTATATCATGAACGTTAATTAGATGCATGAAACTTGGCGGCATGAAATGGATCTACGCTTGATTTATGAAAATCTGTATTTATCAATAACAGCACAATGGACAAATTAGTTGGAGGGATTACCGAAAAGGAAGGTATCTAGTAGGCTTATGTTAGGCATGTATTCATATACAAGTAGTTTTTCTTCTTTCAAGCAAACACCAAGTAACCGCACCAAGTTTTTGTGCTCGAGCTTGGCAGCTAGAACAAGATCATTTTTCAGTTCATGAAATCCCTGTGAGGAGGTTGTTGAAAGCCGTTTCACTGCTATTTCTTCCCCGTCCTCAAGTGTACCCTGCAAAAATAAATTATTTTGCTGCTTAGCTGTAGTGATGAACTTGCACGCGGGTTAACCTATGTGCAATCTGTTGCATCGAAATTTTATATTCACTTCAGTTTAACTAAAGTGGGCAAAGAATACACGCGAATCGGCCCGCAGTCATCCCTACTTAGCTCGAAAGGCATTTTCCCAGGACATTTGAAAACACACCTCTAAGATCAATGTTGGACACCATTTGAAGATATTCCTTTATCTTATAAAGGAAACCATTTAAATTATGAGTTGTTATCGTTACATTTTCAATGAAGACTTGGGTAAATGTTGCCAACATCTGTTTGTGTGGAATGTAGTATCTAATTAATTAGAGATTTGCTCTGGTCCACCAAATTGTACCTCAAGGTACTGGTACGGTACCAGATTGAATCTAACTGTCCAATATGTAAGGGCACGATGGGAATCTCCCCCAGCTTTGCAACTTGACCCATTCGCGCCGCAATCCCCCCACACTACTCCTCCCCACCGCAAAATATTCCACGGGCAGCTGACGCCACCGGTTCATTCCCTCCCGTCGATGCCCCCGCAGCACCCCTGTTTTTCCGGCGTGTTCGCAGCGTGCGTAGTAGTGCTTAGCCATCAGTTCTACCTGCTTCGTTGCACAAGAACCCACGCAGGCTTCCTGCCGACGTCGAGGCGCTGCAGCACGCCAGCGTGCTCGTGTCGTGTACGGCAACAACTACTTCTGGACAGGCAGTGGCGCTAGAGATGGTTCTCTTCTTCCGCTCCGTTGTCCGGCCGTGGTCGCAAGTGAGGATTGATTCGATGCATGCACAATGAGGATTGATTCGGACTTTCTGACTGATAGTAGTACATACTGATATACAGATAGATATACAGGTACAGTACAAAGATGGTACTCAAACAAAGAGTGAAAGAGACATTATTGTTTATCAAGAACTGATCTCGGTAGATGGACAGAAGCATTGCTCAAAGTTAAAACTTTCAGTCAGAGGGAAAAAAATTCCAAACTTTTAACTTTTTAGGATTTGAAAAGAGCAATACTCCCGAGGATTATGTTGCCATCTGCAAATCTCTGCGCAATCCCTGCGCTTCGGAAGATGGCACGAGACGGTGGCCGTCGCGAAGGAGTCCTCCATGGTGCAAGCTGGAGACTGCCTCGACGGAGCTTGACCTCACCATCGCCAACATGGGCACGACCCTCCACCTCCCGCTGAGGCATATCGCCCAGAGAGTGAGTGTTGGTCTGCTCCATTGACGACGACCCCCAGGTGTTCTCGTCTTGGTCCGACTCATCTGCGGATGAGGACGACACCACGGCGGTGACGGCCAGCCAAAGTCACACAACGGCGGCGATGGCACGCATCTGGGCCATCTGAGGAGGAAAGACGCCGATCCGATCGAGTTCCCAATATTTCCTATGCGAAAAGACCACCTTACCCTTCCACTGGTGCGGTACCACCCAAACAACTAAGCGGTACCTGGTGGTACTGATCAATTTCAGCCGTTGGATCCAGTTCATCTGACGGTTAGCATTTGGTACCGCCAAAGCCTGCTGGACAGTAAAAAAACTCAATTTATTAAGATGCATGCGTTGTTGCATATTAGTTGCAGCTTCGATGTCCAGGATGTCATATATTCTGAAGAGTAGTTGCATATCATTTTCAATTTTGTTGCTTTTGAATCTCGAAAAACAGAGTAGTTAGACTGTATTCAATTTGGACCTGAAAGAACTTAAGAGTACAGATGCATTGCTATGCTATTCCTTTTGTAGCCTAAGCAATGTATTGCTTTCGTCCAAACTTGTTTGTGGTTCGTTTTACTTTACATGGTCTCCGGTGCAATTGTACTCCCTCCGTCCTATAATATAAGAGATTTTGATTTTTTGCTTGCACTGTTTGACCACTCGTCTTATTCAAAAAATTTTAGAATTATTATTTATTTTATTTGTGACTTACTTTATTACCCAAAGTACTTTAAGCACAACTTTTCGTTTTTTATATTTGCATATTTTTTTAAATAAGACGAGTGCTCAAACAGTGCAAGCAAAAAATTAAAATCCCTTATATTATGGGACGGAGGGAGTAGTATTCTAGCACTAATAATAAAGACATTTACGCACTACAACATAATTGATTTTTCTGCAGAAGACTTCCTCTAGGTTGTACGTGGAGCATAACTGCTCCCGCAAGCAAAAATCGATCCCTCTAGCACGGTTCAAGTGCTGTATGAGAAAATCAATTTTCGGAGACGGGCCTATTAATATGCCGCTTGTAAAAATAAACCTATTTTCGCATGTGGATCTGTTAAGTGGCCCGCAAACAAAAATAACACTCTCTCTCTACAATTTTTTCTCCCCTTCTCTCTACTCCCATTCCTCTCCTCACTCCTCCCACTCCCTCTTTTCCTGAGCACGGCACGCTCCGATGAGAGCAGTGGGGGCGACGGCGGTGGCAGGGGTGGGCCCACAATGATTCATGGGTATTCAAATGAATACCCAAGATTTTTGAACAAAAAATATATATATATGAAGTATATATTCCATATGTATATATGAAAAAAGAAAAAAAGGCCTACCCATTCAAAAGAAGCCCAAACTAAAAATGATTCCTATCCCTCCCACCATTTTCCTCCCCACCACCCTCAGGCTCATTGCCCAATAGCCAAAAAAGAGCCCAAACACTATTCTAACCCTATCTCAGTTCCCATTCCCAAATCTCCTGAGTCCGATCCAGCCGACTAGCCGAGTCGCCGCCTCGCCGGTCACCCTGCGCGCTGCCGCTGCCCGCTGCGCCGGCGCCGCCAGCCCGCCACCCGCCACCCGCCGCCCGCCGCCCGCATCTCGGCGCCGGCGCGTGGGCGTCCCGCATCCGGCCGGCAGTAGGGCACCACTGCCCTCCAGGGCAGCAGCCAGCAGGGCGGCAGGGCGCATGCCGCGGCCGCGCACCGGCGGACGGCGATCCGGCGACCGGCGGAGGCAGCCTCCAACCTCCAGGCGTTGCCGCTGACCACCTCCACCGGCCACCGCTCCACGGCTCCACAGCTCCACCGAGGAGGCGAGACGACGAAGGTAACTCACTAACTCTCCCTTCATGGCTAATGCCTAATTGGACTAGGAATACAGAAGAATAGAGATTAGGATTTAATTCGTAGTTGAATCTAGCATGTAGGAAATTATTCATGCCTTCATGGTTGAACATTTTTGATTTAAAATTGGAATCCAGGAATGGTTCATGGTTGACTATAGTATATTGTTGTTTTGTAGGTTTGAAACATGAAGAGAAAAAATGGTCCCGCCGTTAATTTAAAGGTTTTTTTTTAGAAAAGGCTGCTGCAAAGAAGAGAACTCAAGAAGCAACTGGTCCAAGTCAGCCTTCTTGCATTGGTCCAAGTCAGCCTTCTTGTATTGAGAGTCAGATGCAAGTAGTGATATATCAAGGTCAACCTGAGAATGAGAGTGATAGTGGGGCAAGCAGTCCAACCACAGTACCGCCTGATGTAGAGAATGATGATATTGGAGGAGGGCCAAATGATGAGTCATCAAGTGATGAAGACAATGATGGTGGTGTATATGACATAGAGCATGATCCTGGATTGAGGACTCCTATCTCACAATATGATGTCAATGACCAAGATTCTGCTAGAAGGGAGTATATTGCATTGGGCCTTTGTTAACCAAAGATGAAGAAGGGGGATTTTCCGCAGCATGAGTGTGGAGGTATGCGCCGCTTCCTGCCAAAATGGTTTTTTGAGTTCTAGTGGCTTGAGTATAGTGTGCATAGAGATGCTGCATATTGCTTTGTTTGTTATTTGTTCAAAGATAGCACTAACAATCATGGGGGAGATGCTTTTGTTAATGGAGGTTTTAGAAATTGGAACATTAAAAGTAGATTTAGTAAACATGCTGGTGCTGTCAATAGTGCTCATTGTGAAGCTGAAGAGAAATACAATTTGTTCATGCAACCTAAGACATCAATTCGTGAGTCCTTTGCATCAAACTCTGCAGAGTTTAAGGATCAATACTTAGCTCGCTTGACATGGTCACTTAAGTGCATAAGATATCTTCTGCGGCAGGAGTTGGCTTTTCGTGGTCATGTTGAGTCAAAGGATTCTAACAACAAAGGAAAATTTAGGGAACTTGTGCAATGGCTAGCTGGGAACTTTGAAGAAGTTAATAAGGTGGTTCTAGGAAATGCTCCAACTGGTTGTCAAATGATAGACCACAAGATTCAGAAACAACTCATTGGTTCTTGTGCTCACAAAACAACTAAACTTGTCATAGAGGAACTTCATGATGAGTGTTTTGCAATTCTTGCTGATGGGTCTAGTGATGCCTACCAACAAGAACAATTGGCTCTTTGCTTGCGGTTTGTCAATACGACGGGGCAACCAGTTGAACAACCAGTTGAACGGTTTCTTGGTCTTGTTCATGTTGAATATACTACATCATTGACTCTTAAGGAGGCAATTAAGTCTTTGCTTATTAAGTACCAACTACCCTTATCCAAGGTACATGGACAAGGATATGATGGTGCTAGTAACATGAAGGGTCATATTAATGGTTTGAAGAAATTAATTGTGGATGAGTCCCCCTCAGCTTACTATGTACATTGTTTTGCCCATCAACTTCAACTAACCCTTGTAGCTGTTGCTAAGGAGAATATTGATTGTGCATGGTTCTTTGGGCAACTTGCATATTTGTTGAATGTCCTTGGGATGTCTTGTAAAAAGATCTGCATGCTTCGTATAGCTCAAGCTGAGTATATGATTGAAGCATTGAAGTTAGGTGAAATTGAGAGTGGCCAAGGTCTGAATCAAGAGATGGGCTTAGCAAGGCCAGGTGAGAACCTTGTTACCTCCAATTCTCTATCATATCTCTACTACACCTCTAAATTGTACTCACTACTTTAATTAATATATGGTGGCAGGTGATACACGTTGGGGATCTCACTACAAGACAATAATGCATGTCATGCTTCTATATCCTTCAATCAAGAAAGTTCTATTCAAGGTTGGGAAAGAGTGTAATGGGGCAGAGGCTATAGGAGCTCAAACTATGCTACAAGTATTTCAGTCATTTGAGTTTGTTTTCTTGTTGCACATGATGAATGAAATATTTGGATACACAAGTGACTTCTGCAATGCTCTGCTAAGGAGGGAGCAAGATATTGTGAATGCAATGGATCTTCTTGAGTTCACAAAGGCAGAACTTGATGTTTTGAGAGAAGATTGTGGATGTAAAGAATTTCTTGGAAAGGTCACTTCTTTTTGTGTGAAGCACAAAGTTAAAGTTGTTGACATGGATGGGAAGTATAAGCCTATACAAAGATCGAGGAAATTCTTCAAAGATGCTGTTAATTACCATCGATTCCATGCTGATATGTTTTTGGGTGTCATTGATAGGCAACTTCAAGAGCTCAATAACAGATTTGATGAGGTAAACACGGAATTACTTAGATGCATGGCATCATTTAGCCCAGCCAAATCCTTCTCTGCTTTTAATGTTGACAACTTAGTTAAGCTTGCCAAGTTCTATCCTAGTGATTTTGATGTTGAAGAAATGAACCAACTCCCCTTTCAACTGAACCGCTATATATTAGTGATGTGGGTAAGGATGAGAATTTCACAAATTTGAGAAGTTTAGCAGATCTATCTATGATGCTTGTCAAAACAAACAAGGTTTCTCGCTAGACCTTGTTTACAGACTTCTCAAATTGGTGTTAGTTCTCCCTGTTGCAACTGCTGGTGTTGAGAGGGTTTTCTCTTCAATGAACTATATCAAAAACAAGTTAAGAAGCAAGATGGGACAAGAATATTTGAATGATTGCTTGGTTACATTCATTGAAAGGGATTTCTTCTTGCAAGTCAAGGATAAACACATCATCAATCATTTTCAAAAGGGATAAGTCCATTTTACACCCTTGAACTCTTCATTTTGTCTAAAATACACCCAAAACTCTAAAACCGGATATTTCAAACCCTCCAACTTTCAATACCATTCACTTTACACCCTCGAGTGGTTTTTCAGCTGGTTTTCGCCTACGTGGCACTGATGTGGAAGTCCAGTCAGCAAAAAAATAAAATAAATAAAAATTAGGCCCACATGTTAGTGCATAGCCACCTCTTCTTCTTCCCCTATCTCTTCTTCCCTTTCTCTCTCTATCCTTCTTCATCCCACACCAGGAGAGCAGTGACGGTGGCATTCTTGAGCGCCGACGGAGCTCAAGCATATCCCCAGCCTTCCCTTCCGCGCTGACCGCCGGCGAGCACGAGCTCAAGGTCCGCCACTCCCGCCACCTCCAGGAGCTCCATCTTCACCATGAAATCGAGCTCGCCGGCGGAGCTCGAGGTGCTTGGGGGTGTAGAGTTCGGCGGAGGCGACGGAGCTTCGGGACGAGGAACGCAAGCTCGACTAGGCGGCGGCGGATGCAGAGCTTGAGCTCGATCTCGTCCTTGACCAAGCGGTGGCGGCGCTCGATATTGTTCTTGAGAGAAGGGGAAGGTTGGCCGCGGCCACGACAAGGTCGGTAGTGAGATTGATGCGGAGCCCACCATCTTGGCCATGCTCGGGAGAAGAGGGAGGTTGGTGGCGAGCTCGATGAGGAGCCCGCCTTCTTGGCCGAGGCCAGAGAAGAGGGGGTTGGCTGCAAGCTCGGAAAAGAGAGGTCGCTGGCAAGCTCTGGCGAGGGTTGATGGATGCGGATCCACCCCCTCCCCTCCCCCTTGCTGCGGTCAAAGAAGATGGGTGCCAGCAGCGCGGCCTCGAGTCTGCGACGAGCTTGATGGAGGAGCTGACGCCGCTGGGCCTCCACCACCACGAGTTTGTCGTCGCCCACGTTGTGTCTGGCATGAGCTTGCTTGGAGCCGCCCGCGCTGTCTCCGCCTTCAACTCGAGCTCGTTGGGCGGTGTTACCGTCGGCAGCGACGGAAGGGTGTGGAGTTCCCAGCAGGGAGGAGGGGGCGCTCCACAGATGGAGCTCACTGGCCACTTCGGCTGCTCCAGGAATGGAGGGGAGAGTGAGGTAGAGGGGAAGGAAGAAGAAGAGTGGAATGGAACTGACAAGTGTGACCCTCCTCTTTGCTTATGTGTATTTCTTTTAGATGTGGCATCTGACGTGGCATCCAGCTGTACCAAAACCAGCCTAAAACCGCTAAAGGGTGTAAAATGTCCGGTTTTGATAGTTTGAGGGTGTTAGATATCTGGTTTTATAGTTCGAGGGGTGTAAAATAGACTTATCATTTTGCCATTTTGTATGCTCTAATATGCTTAACACATTGAATTTATGATCAATTTTATCCATCCATCTATGACTATTTGAAATCATGTTTATACCGTTATGTAATATACAACTATTAGACTTGGGTAGAAAATTTTTTTCTATCTCTTCTAATTTCGAATACCCAAGTTGAAAATCCTGGGCCCGCCCCTGGGCAGTGGGCTCGGGCAAGGGCGGTGGTGGGATCGGGCAAGAGGGTTCCTCTGGTGGCAGCGGCGGGAGGGGCGGATCCAATGTCCCATCCTCCTCCTGCGCGGATCCCACCGCCACTTCATCTCCCGCGCATGCGGATCAATCGGCGATGTCCTTTGGATTCTAGGGTTTTGGTTCTTGGATTTCTTTTTTTTTTGTGATTTTTTTCCTTTTCTACAGTAGTACAGCTTAAGCGCCCGCATGCATGCGGTTGCTCTACCTGCATAACAAAATCTGTTTTTCACAGACATCTAGGTGCAAGCGGGCCACCACCCTCCTGCGAAAATCAATTTTGACTGGATGGGAAAATCGATTTCTCTAAATTTGATTAAATTTTATTCTAACTCCTTCAAATTCAAACAAAATTTGATAAAACATTCGATTTCTCTTGGCAAGATTTCGCCCAAGATGGTACGTAGATCTCACTATCTAGCTAGGGGCGGCCCACTTGAAATTCTAATCCAAACAAGACATTGATCCGTGCTTCGATCCGATCAAGCTACTCGTTCTGCTCCCATTATATTTTGAGTATTGTGTAATTGATCACTCGGCTTTATGTATGGGTGAAAATGTACCTTAAAAACTTCTCCGAAACCTCCTTCTCCCAGCTTATTTTCTGCTGAGAAGTTGCTTGTTGCAGCTCTCAACACGGTTAATTCAATGGTAGTGGGGTCATCGTAGTCAGTGTCCTCTCCCTGCCGATGTTGTCTGTCAAAACAATATAACATAGATGTCTGAATGCATGGTGATGTAGTACTAAGGCCAAACAGTGATATTTGTTGCACCTGTACAATCAAGTTTTTTTTAATTAGATAATGACTTGCACAATCTAGTTATGAATACAAGTCATCTTAATTTTCATATATGATAGACATATCCAACGAAATACTCATGCTGGAGCTGACCGGTTATGGGTGGGGAGCTAGGTGCCATTGTGGCGACTGGAGCAGGAAAGGCCTATAGGGCCTGCATGCCTGCTGGAGGGCCAGCACTTGTGAGATTGGCAGAGGCTGGTTAGTGCACATGAGGATGGCGGTGACAGAGGATAGCCAGCTTTGAAATACATCATGAAAATATCAACTTCTCTAGATACCCTTTCGAATTTGTGTGAACCAACCACAAACTATTTACCGCATAATTTCTCTACCCATTCTCAATTAGACCTTTAATTTATAAGCAATTCTACGGTCCTTAAGGAGGTACCAAAATTTTAGTGTAAATTTTTGGTACCTCATGATACCTCATAGTACATAGGTATCATGAGGTACCAAATTTATACAATAAAAAAAATGGTACTTCATGGTATCTCCTCAAAGACCGTAAAATTGCTTTAATTTATAGTAATCAATATATATTATTACCAGTATATATGGAGAAGGTTATATTAATATTTTACATGTAGAGACTTAGTGGCCGCGGTGAATGGTGGGGAGCTAGGTGCCATTGTTGCCGCCTAGGGTTTAGCCTGGGTTGGAAGGCGAGAAGATGAGAAGAGAAGGTATATGATAGAATGAAATTAAGGGACTGTTCAGATTCAGATTGATGCCATTTTTAACCATACTATTTTTTTATGAAGTTGTCAAAAAAGTGCCTATATTTAGTTTGCTGTCAAACTTTAGTAAATATATAAAAAATCCTGCCAAAAATTTTGGGAATATTGTCAATTTATCAAAATTTTTGTATCACCAAAATTTGGTAAGGTTTATTTTAGCTACAATCTCAACAACCCCTAAATTAATTCCTACTTACTTGATGATGGAGCGTGCTTGTGATGGCTGGGAGAGGAGACGAAGGGTGTATGTAAGTACTTGTGGTGCTCCGATGTGCCTCGTAAAGGCCCGTGATGAACTACGGAGCGAATGGGAAATGAAATCATGGGTGAAAATGCCCATCACTGCACTATGCTTTATGCATCGATGGAACTACCCCATGCAAAATATCGAAAGCTTTTTAGTTTTATGTTGTAATAAATTAAAGTGGATAGGAAAGTTAATTAATGATGCCCTTGGATGGTTTAACTATTTGAAAATTAGTAGAGTGTAAAAGTCCTCTAAAGTTGCTATTTTTTTCCTTTGGGAACTAAAAGGTGCATTTACCTGGTGTTATCATCTTGGTGGTCTTTTTCCTGTAGATCAAAATAACAATAAGGACAGCGACTACAAGTACTATTCCTGTAGTAATGGCGACGGCAAGAATCGCACTTGTCCTCTTTTTTCCTGCGTGCAGTGATTGGTTAGAATGAAAGATTAAAAACTATTATTTGAAATACATATGTAAGACTCTTATATACCTAATAAAACCATTCCGAACCGAGGAACATTTGTTCGACAAAACTCTAAGTACGATAATTAATCATTTTATCTTCAGAAGTATTTGAGCTGATAACATGCATGGCTATTAGGGAATATAGCCATATTGTTGTACATGCCTTGTATAGGCTCCCGATATTATGGATCTCTGTAATTTCCCGCGTACTATTTCGCTATATATGAAAGATTATGGCTATATATTCCCTAATAACAGCTTCAACAGATATATAGACGGTTCTAATAAAATAAATTGTTGACTTTTTACAATATATATATATATATACCTATATATATATATATACATATATAGAAAAACTATTTTGTACCCGGGGTACAGAATAGGTATCCTGTACCCCCCTCTCCTCCTAAACCGCGCCACCCCTTAGTCCCACAACCCGGCGCGTAAAACCGGAAAAAACCGATGAAAAGAAAAAGAAGAAAACCACGCGTCGCCTCTCTCGTTTCCACGCGCCGCCGCCTCCCTCGCCTCCTTCCTCGACCGACAGTGGCCGACGGCGATCTGGTGCGCTGCCTCCCCCGCCCCTTTATCCCCTCTCAGTGCCTCCCCCGACCCCCTTTCCCCCCGCGCTCCTCTAGGGTTTACGTCCACAGGGAGGGCGCGTGAGAGGCCGGCAACAGGGAGGCCGGCGACGGCAACCAACGGCAGACTGTCTGTGGCGCCTCCCCGCCAGCCCCCTTCGCTCCCCTCTCAACGCCTCCCGCTGGCCCCCTTCCTCCCCCCTCCTCTAGGGCTTTGCGGCAGCGGCAGGGGCAAGGGCTGAAGGCACCGGTGGACACGCTGCGGCTGGTGGCGTGGAGCACGCTGTGGGCATCTTCCCCGGCCAGCCGGACAGGTTTGAAACGGGTCAATTTTTTTTTCTTGTTTAACTGAAATGCTTGTTGTGCTATGTAGAGTTTAGAAATCCTTCATAGGAATTTAATGGAACTACTATATGTAGCTATCAATCATCAAATCAAGGAAGAATGAATCTGTATTTTTTTTAGTTGAGATAACAAGGCTGCTTTCTAGATGTTTGAATGGCGACTTCATCAGATCAGCGGGTAGTTGAGTGTACATATAATTTGCTTGCTGTGTGATAATAAAGGGAGAATTCACTTTACCCTGCTAATGTCAGTGTATTCCCTGAACAAATTTATGTTGGTCAGCCATGCATCATCATGTTCACAAATTTTGACCTAGGGCCACCACAAAATTCAACCTAAATAAGATGTTATTGAAATGTGAATAATCCAGAGGGATATCTAGCTGTTGATAACTCAAATGAAGGGCTATGTCAAAATCATCTGAATTGGATTTCCAATCCTCCCCTTGCAGGATAGATGCCCATTTTGCTTCTGTCATCCTCTAGTAGTGATAATTGATAATGCTAAAGTGAAAAACACAGATTGTATGTATACTACACATTTTTGCTTATAGCTTTTGATTTGTGTCACAGTGGCGTTTATTAGGAGGAACCTGTGAGCAGCTTTTGTATCAAGTCTACTTCTCGCGGGAAGAGGGTCAACAATGGAATGTGAGTCTTTTATGCAGTAACCGTGCTTTACATAGCAGTAATATATTTTTATAGACATGCAGGCTTTTTGGTACACATTAAATGTTTTTTCTGTTAGTGCATGGTTCCTGACTTATGTTTTCTTAGTAAGATGGTTACTCAGTTTACAGTTACATGTCTTTGTCCATGCAGTAACACAAACCCTTACTTTGCAGTAACATATTTATTTTTTTGCAGTAACTCATCTATGTGCTTTATCCTTTTTTCATGCAGTGGGTTCAATTGTTAAAGACGGCAAGGCCTTGAAAGTCGCAAAGGTTGTTTACAGAGATGGTGACCATAACTTGGAGGTTTCTTTTGACCCAACTCAAACCCAACCTAGTGTGCCTGCAATGGGAGGGGTAGAGGAGGGTGAGCCAGTAGCAGCAGCGATGGGAGGGGGAGGGGGGAGTGTGGCAGTGATAATGGTGACGACAGGGCAAGAGGAATTTATTGCTTGTAATAGAATCTAGCAGTAACAGAATTTATTGCATGTAATAGAATCTAGCAGTAACACTGCTAATGATTTGTAGTAACTCATGTGTATGTCTGGCAGTAACACAACTGTTTTGGTAATGTGTCTATGTACACCCATGTTTATAATTACCAAAGTTGACTGGAGGATATAATAAGATTGCAGCAATCAACATTACGTCGTGTATCTAACGTTCATGACAGCAAGACAAGTTGAACATTGTTTTTACTTTTTCTACAGTAACATATGAGTAATTTTGCAGTAACATACATGTATCATGGTAGTAAACATACTGGTAACATGTCATTTCAACAGGCATCAGGATAAACCATTTAAATATTAAATCAATATTTTTACAGTACTAGGAGCATGTAATATATCAGTGATGTGTTGCCCTAATTGGGCATAATGATGAAGGATAACATTTAGTAACCAATATGCTAAATGACAGTCACAGTTGTGTACTATGGCAGTAACATATTGCATGTCCTAAAGTCAGTAGCAATGTATCTATCACTTGTACACTTAATCTTCTTCCTCTTCTTCTTCGTCTTCTTCGTTAGAATCATCTTTTCTGCACCCACCTGTCATATGGACATGCAAGATCTCAGACAGCCAACGGTAATTTTCATACGCGATACATATACACCCACTGAGCAATAACAAAAAACTTGTGGTAACAGTAACACATAGACCAATCAGCAGTAACATGGAGATTCCTAGAGCAAAGGCTATCTCGAACAAACTCACGTGCAGTAAACACAATAGTAAATTAACACAGGAAATGCAGTAACAGAACAGTTGAAATGCAGTAACATGGCGATTCCTAGGGCAAAGGCTATCTCGAACAAGCTCACGTGCAGTAAACACGACAGTAAATTAACACAGAAAATGCAGTAACAACACAGTTGAAACGCAGTAACATGGCGATTCCTTAGGCAAAAGCTCTCACCAACAATCTCACATGCAGTAAATCAGAAAGTAAATCAATATAGAAAATGCAGTAACAGAACAGTTGAAACGCTACATGGAGATTCCTAGGGCAAAGCTCTCACCAACAAGCTCACATGTAGTATATCAGACAGTAAATCAATATAGGAAATGCAGTAACAGAAGAGTCGAAACGCAGTAACAAAAGTTCTCTTGACAAATCTCACATGCAGTAAACCAGACAGTAACATGGTGATCTGGAGACAGTAACGTGGTGATCTATAGACAGTAACAACAAGATTTTTCAGGGCAAAGCTCACGTGCAGTAAACCAGACAGTAACAGGGTGTTCTATAGACAGTAACAGCGCAGTAACAAAAGATTTCTCTTAACAAAGCTCACATGCAATAAAGCATACAGTAACATGATAATCCATAGACAGTAACATGGTATTCTATAGACAGTAACGACGAGATTTTTTAGGGCAAAGCTCACGTGTAGTAAACCAGACAGTAACATGGTGTTCTATAGACAGTAACAACGAGATTTTTTAGGGCAAAGCTCACCTCAAGCCAAACTTTGACTAAAGGGAGGGATGAGGAAGCGAGTTGTGGGCGGCGCCGAGGGAACGAGCCGAGGGGGGGTGAGTCCTTGGGGTTTTCCATGACGGAGCTGACGGTGTGGATGGTATGAGAGTTGGGAGAGATGGAGGAAAGGAGGGAGGTTGGGAGGAAGGAGAAAAAGGAAGGGAAGATGGGAGGGAGGACAGGGAGGGGGATGGAGAGAGGAGAGGGAGGTGGACAGGAAGATGGGAGGGAGGACAGGGAGGGGGACGGAAGAGGATAGGGAGGGGGACGAGGCTGAAGGGAATCCTCTGCTGGAGTTGCGTGGCTCCCTCCTCTCAGTGGCGATGCGGGAGGTTTTTTTTTTCTTTTCTCGCTCTTTTTTTTCTTTTTTTCTTTCTGGCGTCGCTACTTGGGGAGGGGGGCGTGCGCGGGATGGTGGGGGTGAGCCGTGAGAGGGAGAGGGAGGGAGGTACAGAATAGTTATTCTATACCCTGGGTGTAGAATAGTCTTACCCTATATATATATCTTACCCTATAGTTATATATATAAATATATATTAAATTTGTTTGGTGCTCCATGGTGTCCGGGCTCCATGATTCAAATTGAGTATATACTCAATTCAAATGAGTATGAATTTTTTTTAAATGTTTAAGTATTAACATTAACTACTTTACTAATTAGTTCAAAACTAGTTTGGACTAAATTTAAACATGTTTTTATTAGAATTTGATTCTAGGTATATAGCATCCAAACATATTAGTTAGGTATGTAATTGTCACATCCTGAAAATTCAAAAGATATAAATTGTTGTTTAAATGGAATTATTAGAATTTATTTTTAAAAAGCCTTGAAGAGAAGATCTAATTTTAATTAATAAATTCCAATATAAAATAGGGCCAGATAAAATTTCATTAAATACTTTGCTTAATTCTATAATTCCTAGATTTTTCTGGGATTTATTTGAGCTAAGGAAGTATTTTTAATAAATGGAATTGCATTTCATAAATAATTTATATTGAAAAAGGTTTTAAAAAGTCCTCTTTTGGCTTTGGGCCGAAAGTCGGCCCAAAACCCTCTCTCTCTCTCCCCGGCCCAAGTCAGCCCAGTCCGCCACAGCCGCGCGCGCCCTCGCTCGCTGACAGGTGTGGCCCGCCTGTCAGGTCGTCGTCTTCCTCGCGTCGGCCGCCGCCCGAAACCCTAGCCGAGCCGCGCCGCCGTTCCCTTCCAAATTCGATCGATCCTTTCCTTTTCCGGCCGAATTGATAGAGGGGAAACAATCTTTGGATCTCCTCTACCTTTTCTCCTTTGGAAACATCGGCTAAATCGGTTTGGAAATCGATGGATTCGAGTTTGCTTCGGATTCGTTTTTCCCGAGGTTTCCTTCGCCGTCGCCGGTCGCCGTGGGCCTTCGTCGCCGCCTCCTAGCCCCTTTAAAAGGACCCCCGGTGTCTCCTCTACCCGTCGCCACCTTCGCCTTCGCCTCTCGTCGTCCGTAGCGCCCTAGCGTCGTGTAGCCTCGAGCCGCCGTCGCCGCCGTCGCTCCAGCCATGCGCCGCCGCCGTTCCGGTCGTCGTCGTCGCTCGGGAAGGCCACCGTTGAGGTCGCCAAGTCGTCGCCGTCCTCGTCCACCGCTTCGCCGCCGCTGTAGACCGCCGGAGCATCGCCGTCGTCGTCAAGCCGAAGGTCTCCGCCGCCTTTTCCTCGACACCGCCGCCGTCCGTTCATCTTCCGCCGTCGTTTTGGTCATCGGTGAGTTCGCCGCGTCGCGCTCTACGTCCTGGTGCCCTCCGTTCGTGCTGAAACACCGCCGTTCGCCGGCGAGCGTGCGCCGTCCGAGCCGTCCAAGCCGCCGTCGGTGGTGACGTCATCGCTGACGTCATCGGGACCTTTCGCCGTGAGCCGGCCGTGGATCGGTTGATCTCAGCCGTTCGTTTTGGTTTAGATCGATCTCGGCCGTCCGTTTCCGTGAGCCGCCGCCGTGCGCCCGGTCCACCGAAACCCTAGCCGCTGACGCAATAAATTTTCTTTTCCTTTTCAAAAATAATTCATTATTGCGTCATAATTCAATTAAAATCTATATAAGTGTTTTAATCCGATTAAATCTTTAAAAATTCATAACTAATTCATCTTAGCTCGGATTTAGTTGGTTCAAGTCTCTAAATTTTTCTAAAATTGAGATCTACATGTTAAAAATATCCACATGTACTGTTCATGCTTGTTTATGTGCTGTTTTGGTGATTTTGCTTCTTTCTGTTTAGATTCCGTCGTTTCCGGAGAGTCCGTTTTAGCAGCAGAAGAGTTTGAAGAGTTCCAAGGCCAGCAAGGCAAGTCACACAGATCCCAAATAACCCTTTGAGCATGTTGATCCTATTTAAAGCTATTGTTTCTATTCAACTATTGCATTTATTTTCGAATGTCATTGGGTGGAATTAACCTATTCTTTGTTATAGCCCTTTTGTTCTTGATTACTTTATTCCTTGATACCTTGGGTTATTATAATTTGACTAGTTGAGCTTTATTTATATTGGTTCAACTTGATATTAGGTATAATTGCTTAGCCCTGCTTAGAAACATTAGCACACTATTTGGTTAACTTATGACTCACTATTATTTAATGATGGCTTAATGATAGTTCACGATGGTCAATCGTGATTGGTTAATTAATTAATGTGCCAACTAAAACCTGATAATGGTGGGTTGTGAGCATATGGTTTTGATGGTCGTGCTCATGACAATTAAGGACCGGTTCACGAGTTTCGGTTGTGAAACATTAACCGTGCCAACCACAAGCCAGCATGGGCAACGGCTTTATCTTTTGTATAGCATGGTTCATTGTGGGGCACCAGACTGAGAAGTGGCGGAGATAAGCCCACGGGGGTCGCTGGGGAGTCCATGCCTTGTTTATAAGGGGGTGATTATGATCCAGGAAAGGTGCGCTGCAATGGATTGTGTTGTGCAAGGGGTATTGTCACAACTCCTTTCCGAGGTACCGTGGTGGTATTGAGGCACATGGTGACATGATGTGGGGTTGTGTCTTGTGGGTACAGTGGTACACCTCTGATCAGAGTAAAACTATTCGAATAGCCGTGCCCGCGGTTATGGGCGGGTCTAACAATGTCTTTCGTGATTAGTCTCACCCTTCTCACCATAATAAAAGATGCTATAACTGGTAATAATTTGATTAGCTCCTGGTTTGGAATGGTATATTCCTGGTTTGGAGATAGAACTGTGCAGCCGGGATGGTTGTTCAGAATGGTTGGGCCTATGCAACAGGGTATGTTGTATTGCGTTGGATTAATATTGTTTAATTATTACTTAACTGTTTTATTAAATTCTCAAATGTTTGCTAAATGCTGCTTTTGCAAAATGAAACCTTATTATGCCATCCTTTGTTATCCTGTGCACTTGCATTTTTGCTGCGTGGCTTGCTGAGTATGTCATATACTCACCTTGCAATCATTCATCGGAGGAAGAGTTCTACAGTGATGCCGATGGTGTGGAGGATTAGGTGTAGCCCTGGTCAAGCTGCCTGTGGAATGGAGTCGTCTGCGCCGTTTATTTTTTTTTCCGCTGCTTAGATCTTTATTGATTGAGAGGAACTATCTACCTCTGTAATGACATTTTATACGCTTATTTATTAGAGTAATAACTGTACTCTATTATCAATTTATTATTGTGTGCCTCGGCTGATTCCTGGACGAGGGTTCGCACACATGTAAGCGTTTGGAATTTTGGATAGAAATTCCGGGCGTGACAAGTTGGTATCAGAGCCCCTTGACCCTAGGTTATTCCAAATGGTTATCCATAGAAGCCCTCTCAAAATATTGGAAAAGTAGAACTGTTCTCCTCCCTTTCTCTTTTAATTAAACCAAACTAATGGCACATGCACTTAATAATCTCTTTTAATGGTTCTCATTCGAAATTTATTCCAGTGTTATTAGTACTGTACATCCATTACTGTACTAATGGCTCATTTTACCAGCAAAAGTTTTACAATATTGCTTTACTTAATCTTGCTGCAACAAAAATAAATTTAGCATGTTGATTTTATAACTTTCTTTCATTTCTTTTGAAATCTGTTATTCAAA